TAACCCCAATTGTAGGTGGTTTAGGGTTTCGGGTTGAGGGTTTAATTATAGGGTTGAGGGGGTTCATATGGGTACTTCGAACCCCAACTAGAAGTCTACTTAGAACCTACTTAGAGGACTTAGGGGGACTCTGGGGGCTTATAAGTATATACAGTTCTAATTGGGGTTCGAAGTACCCTGAACCTCCAAGCTGAGGGCTGGTTGTCGACGGGTGTCTGGCCCGCAAGTACCCAGCATCACAGCCCATGACCCCCCCAAGAACAGGTGCACTTGAAGGTTCAGGGGTACTCTTATGAGTAGGGTTATAGGTAGCCTGCATAGGCTTCTGACTGTAGTTACCCGACTTATCGCCCATACTTCTAAGTACCCATGAAGTGGGTGCAGCCGAAATGCAGGGTAGACGGTATGCACGCACATGCTGTTGGGTATTTTTTGTGACTGGCAGGGTCTTCTCAAAGCCTTGGAACATCCGGCTGCCGTCCTGGATGCTGAGCCCAAATATCAACCAGCAAATCAAGCTCAAAACAGGGGCGTAGAGGAGGTTCCCTAAATCATAGTCTCTCCTCGGATAACTATGATGAGGCGACTAGCCACGCTGTGGCAACACGTACATCAAAGCATCGCCACCAACCACGTACCCTTTTGAAGAGCCTCGGCTTTCTACAGATCGGGCACCCAGCTCACCTTCCCTAACCCAAAGGCCAACTTTAAACTCCAATCAAACCCGCCAAAAAAAACAGCAAACACAATCAACCAACCACGAACAAAAACGCTAAACCCTAAACCCTAAAGCCCCCAACCAGCAGGGTCCGCCTGAGCCTCGGGGGCGCGCCCCGCGTCTGCGCCTCCAGCTGGGCCTGCTTACTGGGGATTCAGGTTTAGGGGTTTAGGGCTTTGGGGTTTAGGGTTTTAGGGTTTAGGGCTTGAGGGTGGGGGGTTTAGGGGTTAAGGGTGTAGGGTTTTGAATCACACTTGGACTAACCAGGCAAGGCACATTGCCAATGAGTCATTGTTAGGTAATCCCTAAACCTTAAACCCTAAACCCTGCTAGAGAGGCCGAAGGTTTTGAGCCGCCTCGGTGGCACACGTGGGAGCCTAAGAATGACCTGGGCGGCCTATTGTTGTTCAAAGAGGTTCACAAAGGATCCGAACCCTGAAAGAGGAATTAGGGCATTTTTCCCGCTTGTACAGGTTCAGCCGTTGCGCATGCGCATCCCATGTTAGCACTCCGAAAACGTAAGTGAGGATGCAGGCAGAGTTCCCCAGTCTTCATACCCTTACGGCCCATGTACCTTACTATTATATACTTGGGCCCCAAAGTCCTTCTGTAGGAAGTACTTTAAGGCCCACGTATTTGTTTAGGTACATGGACCCTTAGGGAAATAGGCCAATTAACCCAAACATTCCCCCCCCCCCCACCTATGGAGCCTTCGAGGGCACGTGTGGCTACGAGCAAAGCGCTCCTTCGAACCAAGGTCAATACACAACCAGATGGGTGTTTCCAAACCGGTTTAGGGTTTAGGGTTTAGGGTACTTCTTTATACCCCAAATAGAATAGAATTCCCTTCAAGGGATCCGCCCACCTCCCCCCCCCCCCCCCCAACCCGATTTTCGGAAACCCTCACACGTGCAACAAGATAGCAAAGCCTGGGAACAACGATCGGATTTAGGGTTCTGGAGCCCTTAGGACCCTAAACCCTAAACCCTAAACCCTACACCCTAAACCCTAAACCCTAAACCCTAAACCCTAGACCCTAAACCTACCGCGCTGCGCCTGCGCATCCCCGGCGTCGCAGGCCACATCGTCGTCGCAGTCGACCTCGAGGCGGGATCTCTGCAAGTTTTGGAGGGATTAGGGCTCATTATAGGGTTCTAAGGGTTATAAGGGCTCTAAGGGTTGTAAGGGTTTTAAGGGTTTTAAGGGTTATAAGGTAGGGCTTTAAAGGTTCTAAGGGTTCTAAGGGTTTTGAGGGTTATAAGGGTTTCAAGGGTTTTAAGGGTTATAAGGGTTTCAAGGGTTATCAGGGTTTTAAGGGTTCTAAGGGTTGCAAGGATGGTAGGGGTTCTAAGGGTTGCAATGGTTTTAAGGGTTACAAGGTTCTGATGGTTTTAAGGGCTATAACGGTTTCAAGGGTTTTAAGGGTTACACGGGCTCTAGGGGTTCTAAGGGTTTTACGGATTTCAAGGGTTCTAAGGGTTCTAAGGGTTATAAGGGCTTTCAGGGTTTCAAGGGTTTTAAGGTTGATAAGGGCTTCAAGGGCTTTCAGGGTTTAGGGTTTTAAGGGTTATAAGAGTCCCTAAGGGTCCATGTACCTCATAATTATATACTGGGGCCCAAAAGTCCCTATATAGGAGGTACTTTCAAGGCCCAAGTATTCCCTAGTTAGGTACATGGACACCCGAAACCCTAAACACTAAACCCTAAACCCTAAACCCTGTAAGGGCTTTCAGGGTTTCAAGGGCCTCAAAGAGCTCCAGGACCTCCTTGTCCAAGGCCCTCCTGAGCTTCGGGTTTGGGGTTTGGGGTTTAGGGTTTAGGGTTTGGGGTTTAGGGTTTAGGGTTTAGGGTTTGGGGTTTAGGGTTTGGGGTTTAGGGTTTAGGGTTTGGGGTTTAGGGTATAGGGTTTGGGGTTTGGGGTTTAGGCTTTGGGGTTTGGGGTTTGGGGTTGAGGGTTTAGGGTTTGGGGTTTGGGGTTTAGGGTTTGGGGTTGAGGGTTTAGGGTTCGGGGTTTGGGGTTTAGGGTTTGGGGTTTAGGGTTTCGGGTTTAGGGTTTAGGGTTTAGGGTTTGGGGTTTGGGGTTTGGGGTTTGGGGTTTGGGGTTTAGGGTTTAGGGTTTGGGGTTTGGGGTTTGGGGTTGAGGGTTTGGGGTTTAGGGTTTGAGGGTTTGGGGTTGAGGGTTTAGGGTTTGGGGTTTAGGGTTTAGGGTTTGGGGTCTATTAGGGCGTCCTAATTTTCTCGGACCATGCTCTCTGCGCCTGTTTGAGGGTGGGACTTGGGCGACGGCCCGCGAAACTCTTGCGCCCTGTCTCCCCGAACCCCCCCCACCCCCCACCCGAAGCAAAGCCTCTAAACCACACACCCTAACCCTAAACCCTAAACCCTAAGCCCTAGGCCCTAAGACCTAAGTTGAACATCTTCAAACGCCCCTTCATAAGAGAAAATATAAAGCATCCCACGGCCCGACCTATGACAGAGAACCCCTGATGTCCACATAGGGTTTGGGGTGTAGGGATTCTAGGGTTTAGGGTTTAGGGTTTAGGGTTTAGGGTTTAGGGTTTAGGGTTTGGGGCTATGGGGCCACGAAAGCAAATAGACCCCTATGGCTTGGGCGACTTCATGTTTCGCCCCGGCTTCTTGGTGGGATTGACATCTCAGCATGCCCATTTCTTGGTTTAGGGTTTGGGGTTTGGGGTTTAGGGTTTAGGGTTTAGGGTTTAGGGTTTAGGGTTTAGGGCTACTTGGAGGTTCGTGGGTACCTATAAACCCCCAATTATAAGTCTACTTATGACCTACTTAGAGCACTTAGGGGACATAAGGGGGCTTATTATTATAAGTACCAGCTCTTATTGGGGTCATAAGTACCCTGAACCTCCAAGTACTGGGCACTTTGGTGTGGCAGGCATTCGACTCTAGAGGCTTCAGCAGATGATGGGGTGGGGGGGGGGGGGGGGGGGGGGGGGGGGTGCACCCCCTAGGCGCGCAAAGAGCATGGACCATGGACCTCCATATATGTGAATATTATAAACACGAGCTGAGGTCTGAAACTTACGCCACTCGCGGCCCTTTGGGGCATCTCCACCTTGCCCAGGCTCTGGATGGATGATCTCAGCAGCAGGGCATCCTCGATCAAGCAGAGCAGTTCCTCCGTGTCCGCAAAGGTGAGCTGTAGCCACCTCACGCACTGCTGGGATCTCACATTCTCGAAGGAATACTGTACAAGACAAACCTATGTGCATAATATGTGTCTCTATGTATGTATATATATATACTGATTACATATATATATATATATCTACACATACATATAAATACATTAAGTTACCGCATTGTTCGAACCATAGTCGTTCAAAATAGCGGTCCGAAACATCGCACTCTGAGAATTCCCTTGCCTCAAGCTGCCAGAGGTTTACACAGACACAACATGCAACCCACGAACAGCAAGTCTTCAGATTGGGGATGTTGGGAAAAGGGTTATACTGGGATTTGGGCCCATAGAGCTAGAAAACTCAAAATCCACGGCAGAGCTGCTGGTCGCAAATCAGCATGCGGCAATCCTGCGCTGGGCGTTTAAGAGTCTTGGGGTCTGGGCCCCTAAACCCCAAACCCCTAAACCCCAAACCCAAAACATTAGCCCCACATTGCAGGCCCAAAGCCGATGCACCGAATCAACCCTGTGGAGGTTTGCCCTGACGCAGGGCCCAGACCTCTGGGAGGATCCAAAAGGTAGATCCCCTTAAGGGTTCGTAAGAGTGACCCACTGGTAGTTATTAGGTACTATTTCGGGGTTCTACTCTTTGGATCCTCCCAGGGGTCTGGGGGGTGCTCAGGAACGTCAGGAATTTAGGGAAAAGGATTAGGGGGACCCTTGGGGATATAGACCCTCTGAAGAAGGTCCCTGTTTAGCCCTTTGAAGGGTCCCCCTTATCCTACCTAGGAGAATTCCTTATCCAGAAACCGGCTGGTCCTACGTCATAAAAGCCTAAACCCCTAGGCCCTCTCAGGCAGGCAACGGCCCCAAGCCCTAAAACACCTTCAAGCAATTTCAAGCACTTACGGTAATGACACCCAAAACCCTCAACCCGAGGCGGCAGCCAGTCCTCCGCCACATCTACACGGACAGCACAAAGCAACACCACAGGGACAGTGGGACAGCCTGGGCTTGCGTTTTGGGATTTTGGGGTTTTTGGGGTTCAGTGTCTGGGTGCGTAGGCTTCTGAGAGGCAACCATGATGATGTCCTTTTTCCCCGCTTTGCCGCCTTTTTTGGAGGGGAGTCCAGCTCAGGGCGCCTCCTCTGTCAGCCACTTGTCGATTCCTGCCAGTGCTCTCTCTTTGCTGACAGAGGGCATGCATGAAAATTGTATGGAGCAACGAGCCAAGTCAGCTAGCTGCTGGTCCGTGAGTTTCAGCACCTTGCGTGCGCCCTCGTATTCGCGCACAAGGCCATGTCCGTTGCCAGCACCCATGAGAGTCGGATCATCCGCTGCCAGACAGCAAGGAACGCCACTTGCAAGCAACACAGGAAGAGGATGTGACACCCCGTCTTCCCAAGGTGCCATGTCCAACAGCCAGTTGCTGTAGAGACAAACCTCCAGACAAACTTGCCGCTCGCGAAGCAAGTCCATGGTCGCTTGGCTGCGCGCAGCCTCGATCCCATGACCGATCCGCAGCGCTCCTGCCGCTACGGCCTCTTCAACGTGTGACGCTCCATTGTAAGCTTCGAAGGGTAGCTTTTGCCCTGTCGCTCCGTAACCTTCTCCTGCATGCAGCATCACGATGGGAACACCTTGCTCTTTGAAAAATGACAAAGCTGGACCGAGCTCGTCCTCGAGGCCAGGGGTTTCCCGACCCCACTTGCCTATGCCAGCCAGTGCACCTCTCTCACCCTCAGTAGTGAAGAAGTCCAGAATGGCGCGTGCTTGGTCCACTTGAAACTTACCTTTGGTAGCCCGGTAACCGTACTATAATAAGGGCAATTACCCTTATTTGGGGTTGGGTTATTTCTTTGAAGCAAACAAGAAGGGAAAAGGGCACCACTGGGCTACCAAGCACCTTTGGGACATGGCACCACAAATGCGAGTCCAACGCCCGGGAACGCTTCCATCGCCTCTCTCCGACTGGCGAGTGCGTCACGCCATTGACCGGCACACTTCTCTTCAATCCTCTGTGGTTCGTCGTCAAGAAACTGGAAGGCTTTAAAGGCAGTCTCAATCCAACAAATTCCCTCAGAGGCGGCGTCTTCGACGAGCTGCAGACAAGCCTGCCTCTCGTAGCCACTCGTTCCTCCTCGTGATTCAGGAGCTGTCTTCATCAAGACATCAAGGAAAAACTGACGATCCCATATCTCTGATTCTGGTCCTGATCCCCCACGCAGCGACACTGGAGCCAAATCATCAGCAAGCAGCGCTTGGCCCAACAGCAGATCGAGTGAAAGCGGCGGGGTGAGGGCCTTGATACGCCGCTCGTACTTGTCAATGTCACTCTGAAACTCTCCTGGCCTGGTTTCCTGCACACCCTCATCCTGCTTCTGCCGTATGTCAGCCAACTTTTGCTGAGCTGCCGAGGTCATTTGATGTAGCCGCTCCTCGTCGCATTCCAGCAGCCACTCTGCAACCGTTGCTCTGCGCAAGGTTGCTTGCCAGGAGTGTAAGTGCAAGTGAGCCTTCGGAAGGTTCTGCAACGGTCTCATGCTTGCAGCAAGAATGTGGCTGCAGGTGCGCAGGCTGCAGGGGTCCTAATGGGGAGCACGAGCCAATAGCAGGTGGATGAGCTGGGGAAGATATTTGTATTGAGGCCTTCAGTCAACTAGGCGGCCCCCTATCGTTTTCAGATCGTGTTCAAGGGCTTGTTTGAGATCAAGATGCCTCGCTTGAATTTAATGCAGCCTAAGACTACCCTAAACCCTAAACCCTAAACCCTAAACCCTAAACCCTAACCCCTAAGCTTAAGGATGCTCTATAGAACTATTTCGGGAAGGAACTGTATAGGAATGGGATTTCTGTAAACATTCCTATACCAGGCATGCCATAGTGGTTGGCTTAAAACTGGAATTTCGGGTTTGGGGTTTAGAAGGGGAGAGAGAGAGAGAACAAAAAAAAAAAAGGCAGAGGGGGGAGAGAGGGAGGGAGGGAGGGAGGGAGAGAGAGAGAGAGAGACAAAGAGTGTCAGTCCTTCTGGGATCCTCAACTCCTTCCGGCATTCCTCACGAATGAAGACAATCTTCTACGTTGCCCTCTGGAAATGAATGTGGACAATCAAGCGCCTTATGACACATGACAGCGGGGGCGGCGAACTGCGAAGCTCTACGCCAAATGAGGAAAAGGTTTTAAGGTTCAGGGTTCAGGATTTAGGGTTTTTCGCCTCTGCAGAAGTGCCCCCACAAATCCAACGAACGTTCAGGGGCATTGCTAATTGGGCTCCTCGATTTAGGGGGGGTTATACAGCCATCCAGAGCCCCCCCCCCCCCCCCCCCCCCCGGACCCCTCCCGCTTAGGTTTCAGGGTTTAGGCGGTTTAGGGTTTAGGTTTGGGGGGTTTATACAGCCATCCAGAGCGCTCCCACTCAGCTGGGCCGGGCAGCGCGTCACGTGCGTCAGGAGGGCAGGTGTGTCTGGGAGGATGCTGCCAAAGGCCAGGGCCTTCAATGATTTAGGGCTTAGGGTTTAGGGTTTAGGGTTAGGGTTGGGGTTTTAGGTTTAGGGTTTAGGGTTTAGGGCTTTTGGGTTTAGGTCTAGGGTTAGGGTTAGGGGGGGTTTAGGGTTTAGGGTCGAGGGTTAAGGTTTTTAGGGTTTAGGTTTAGGGTTTAGGGTTTAGGGTTTAGGGTTTAGGGGGTTTAGGGTTTAGGCGACCCCCCACCCGGCCAATCCACAAGCGTTTAGAAACGAAAGAGTGTGCAAATGTGTCTAATTCCGCTCTGCGCGCCTCCTCACGAGCAAGTGCCGTCGGCAGCTGTGGGTATCAGCACGCTGCTAGGGATGCAGGTTCACCTGAGATTCGTTAAGGCCCTCAACATGTTGAGGGGGTTTCGGATAGCGGGCAGCATGTCCCGAGACCGGGTGAGGTGTCAGGTATCCATTGTCCTCTTGAAACCCCCGAACGCGGACTGGAACTTGCGAAGATGAACAATATTCGTAAAGATGATCCTCCTAAACACAGTAAGGGAAAAACATAAACCCTAAACCCTAAACCCTAAACCCAATGGCAAACCTATGTTGCAACCTCTCCTCTCTGATCCCAGAGAGTGGCAGCCGTGGATCGAAAGGGACCTGCTGTGTGTGGAAGACGCATTCGGCCGCGCACCTGGTTTAGGGTTAGGGTTTAGGGTTTAGGGTTTAGGGTTTAGGTTTAGGGTTAGGCCCCAAAGATGTTGTTTCCTTCTCCCCCTGCCGCTCTTGCACCCTTATTGATGGCAACTTCATTCAGCTCCCTTAGCAAGCCCAGTCTCGTGAACCCTGACAACCCTGATAATCCTAAACCCTAAACCCTAAACCCTCAACCCCAAAACCCAACCTAAAGCCGGCCATCCACAGTTGGCCGGCGCTCAAAGCTCACAACCGCCCCAACTGCTCTCCAACTCTGAACCGTTTAGGGTTTAGGGTTTAGGGTTTAGGGTTAGGGTTTAGGGAGTCCCGACAAAAAGGGGTTTAGGTGGGATTACATCCCTTATACTGACAGTTCTTAATAGGGATTCGAATAACACCCTATGATAATCCCCATGAAGGACTGTCAGTATAAGGGGGACGTCCCAAAGTTTTAGGAACCCAACTCTACAAAAAAGGACTTCGGCCTTGAATGCAAGGGGACAGCCAGGCATTTTTTTGTGCGCAAGGCCTGAATGTTAAATCGAGCTCTCTCTCTCTCCCTCTCCTCCCTCCCCTCTAGATCACCCGAAACCCTAAAGCCCTCGACCCTAAACCCTCAGCATTTTGAACCCAGACTCAGCGCTTAAAGCCCTATAACCCAACTCCCCCACAACCCCTCAACCCTCAACCCAAACAAAAAAAACCCTAAACTCCCCCTAAACTCTGAAGCCGAGAGGCCTCTCGCTGTTGTTCTCCCCCGGCAGCGCGATGTTTGGGTACAGCGCGCAGGCGACGACCAACTGGAGGAGCTCCTGGCGTTAAGGGGGGCTCTAAAGGGGGGTTTAGGGTTTAGGGGTTGGGCTCAGGGTTGATGATGATTGATTAGGGTTTAGGGTTTAGGGTTTAGGGTTTAGGGTTTAGGTGGCAGAAAGCAGTCTACTGGATTCCGAGAATTCCTTTGTGCAACAGGCTTCCAACCTCGCGCTTCGAGCCCTGCAAACCCTTTTGCTTCCGGATTCCTGCTATACATCCGAAACCCCCTGTTTTGTTTTATCTACTTGGGGGGGGTTGAGGATAAGGGACCCCTAATAATCTAAAATAGACCCCCAAAGAAAAGGATCCCCTTATAGTGAGGACCCAATATGGTACCCCCTCGTATCGTAAACCCCCTTTTGTTTTATATGTATATTTTCTTTTTTTCTTGGGGGGGGGGGGGGGGGGGGGGTGGGTGAGTGGAAAGTGGAAGAGTCATGGGTGTCCCTACTACCCACCTCTATACTACCCCCCTAGGTTCCCCCCTTTTCCACAACCTTAATTAGGCTTAAGTATCCCAAAGTAGCCTTCATTATGGGGGAGGAGGGAAGGGGGCAGAAAAGAGGGGGGTGCCCCATGGAACGAAAGGCTGCTTCTACGTCCTCCTGCTCCCGGCTCAAGGATTCAAGAGCTTTGGTCGTGTGGCGATGGCTCCCATACCTCGCACATGGTCTGCTACACGTAGGGTTTCAGGCTCGGAGGGTTTATAGGGTTTGTACACGGTCAAAACCCTAGCCCCTTGAAGACCCAAAACCCTAAACTTACCATAAACCCGAAAAACTACAGGGGGGTTGGGCCAACAGGGTTTGTGTTCTAGGGTCTGTCGGGTTTATGGGAAGCCGCGATGGGACAGGCACGCAATACAGGCCAGGGAAGCCAGCGTCTAAAGGCCGTTATGTTTTACAGTTTTATTCTAATGGCAACCCTAAACCCTAAACCCTAAGCCCGGTGCCTCAGCTCAAACTCGATGTTCCTGCGCCGCATCTTCTCGGCGAGGCTGTCGTTTTGGGGCAGCCGCACCTCCCAACTTCGCCACGGCGTTTTTGTAGGGTTCAGGGTTCAGGGTTCAGGGTTCAGGGTTCAGGGTTTAGGGTTTAGGGTTTAGGGTTTAGGGTTTATGGTTTAGGGTTTAGGGGTAGGCTTCGGCCTTCAGGGCGGCTATGTGGCAGGGTGATGTAAGGGACACGGAGCGTTTTCACATAAGTTTTCTTTCCGGTGGCTAGAGGGATTGTTGGGGGGGTTCATGGCTTAATTATCGGGCTTCAGGCTTTATAGGGGTCTCAGCGGGATTGGGGACGAGGAGGAAGCTCTTCAGCCGCCGGAAAGCCCTGTCCAATCTCTTAGTGGTCTGACGGCTTAGGGGTCTAGGGTTTGCAGGGTCTAGGGCCGCCCCCTCCGCGACTTGGGGGCTTACCCTAAGATTTTGTAGGCCCTCGAAAACCCTAAGTTACTAAGCCCAAATCCTAAACCTTTATAAGCGCTATTTCATGAACCCTAAACCCTAAACGCTAAACCTCCTTGAAACCTAAACGCGAAGCCCTTCGTCCGAGGAACCTTGGACGGCTGCGCCCGCGTCTTCTGCCTTTTGCGGGGCCGTCGGTTCAACTCGCGATTGAAGTTGCCTTCGCCTCGGTAGGGTTTAGGGTTCAGGGTTCAGGGTTCAGGGTTCAGGGTTTACAAAGGGTTACGTAAGGTTTTTTTGGTGCTGGGTTTAGGGTTTAGGGTCAATAGGTTCTTTCTCTGACAAGGCTGCTTTTTTGCCAGGCGCACTGCGCACACTTCCGGAGGGCTTAGGGATTGTTTGTTTTTGTTGCTCAGAGGGTCTGGGGTTGAGGACTTTCGGGCTTGAGGGTCTCTGGGTCTTAGGGGGGAGTTGGTGTTGGGAAGTTCTGGGGTCTCAAAGCTTAGCTATAAGGACTCTAGAGTTCAGATGGGGTAGGGATCAGAGAGTTCGAAGGCCACTGGTAGATTCTTGAGAGTCTGGAGGGTTGAGCAAGTTTGAGCTCTTGTCACGTTCAGTAGTATCTGAGCCTGACAACTCTGCACCTACTTGGGTGCGACTCTTGGTGTTTGAAGCAGGTCAGCGGCTTTTTTTTGGCAGGTTCCCTCAGAACCTTGCAACAAGAAGCGGCCGGAACAAAAGCTAGGCCTGAGGGATCTTATAGTCAACCGCGGTGCCTCCGCTCGCGTTGGCCACGTCGTCGTCGCTGCCGAAGAAGTCGCGATCGTTCCTCGCGTAGCCGAGCCCCCGCTCGTCTTCGGCCAGGACGCCTGAACAGGTTTAGGGTTTAGGGTTAGGGTTTAGGGTTTAGGGTTTAGGGTTCAGGGTTCAGGGTTCAGGGTTTAGGGTTTAGGGTTTAATCGCTCACACTCGGACAAGCCAGGCGAGGCACACAGGTTCCACAGTCTCAACTTCGGCTCTGCAGCACATGTGGCCACAGTCATGCTAGTGATACTACTCAACACTCACTGTTTAGGGTTTAGGGTTTAGGGTTTGGGGTTTAGGATTTAGGGTTTGGGGTTTGGGGCTTAGGGTCAACTCGAGGGGGAGCGGAGGGAGCTGAGGGGGGCCGAAGCTCTGCGGCAGGTTGTAGAATGCAAGAAGAGCTTAAGCCCACGTCCTGAAGCCCAAGGGTTTAGGGTTTAGGGTTTAGGGTTTAGGGTTTAGGGTCAAGCCCTCAAAACAGCAAACCCGAAGCTCCAAACTCTAAACCTCCTGGGCACCCTAGAGCCTTAAAACCCTCAAAACCCCAAACCCGAAACTTCAAACCCTACTGAAGCCCTGGAGCTCAGTCAAAGTTTGTTGCTGTGGCAATTCTGAAGGGCTTCTGAAGGGCTTCTTTGCTTAGGCTTGCTTAGGGGGATTTGGGCTTGCGCTTTTAGGGTTTTAAGGGTTGAGGATTGAGAACGACTTTGCAGGGTTGGAGGTGTGTTTGTTGTTTCTTGTTTAAAGGCGTTTAGACCCCAAGGTTTTTGGGGCTTCCAGCTTGTGTGTTAGGGTACTCGGGTTAGTTTCAAGCGCCTCGGGAGAACCCCCCAAACCCTAAATCTTGAATTCGAACCCTAAACCCTAAACCCGTCCTTTTGGGGGGCCGCTGAGGAAGCAGGCAGAATGCCTTCGCCGTCTTCAAAGGTCAGACGCCGCTGCTCGCGCGTGGTCTCTTTCAGCTTCAGCTCCTCGCTATCCGATAGCACCTACTTAGAGGACTTACAGGGTGGGGCCCCCTAGTTATAAGTAGAGTTATAAGGGCCCTAAATTGGGTTATAAGGACCCTAAGTTAGGTTATAAGTCCCTTGACTACAGTTAGTATAGTAAGGGGGCCCCACCCTGTAGGGGCCTGAGCAGAGGTACATCAACACAAATGGGGTCATAAGTACCCTGAACCTCCAAATGCCAGCCCCCAGCCCTTGACATCCTAACCCCTGCTCAAGAAGCAGCAACGCAACCCGAATTGAGGGTTTAGGGTTTAGGGTTAAGGGTTTAGGGACCGGGTTCTTAGCATCATTTGACATGGAGTCCTGGGCTAAGGTATCCCCACCCCCTACTCTACTTGGAGGTTCATGGGTACTTATAACCCCAACTGTAAGTCTACTTCTAAGCTACTTCGAGGACTTAGGGGGCTTATAAGTGCAGTTAGCATTGGGGTTATCCCTAACAGCCTAAACCCTAAACCCTTTTTACAGCTAAACCCTGAACCCTGAACCCTGAACCCTGAACCCTGAACCCTGAACCTCCAAGTAGGGTTAATACAAGTACCCTGAACCTCCAAGTACTCTGCTGCCTCCAGCTCGGCTTTCAGTGCCTCGCGATCTTCGCTCGACCTCTGCTCAAGTGAGGCCGAAACAACACCCGGGGTTTTCGGGCTGTTTATTGAAACCCTAAACCCCAAAACCCCAAACCCTAAACCCCAAACCTTAAACCGCAAACCCTGATCTTCCTTTCGCCTGCGCCATCGGGCTCTGGGCGCACGAAGTTCCAGGCTTTGACTTCTGGGGCGTCAAGTCTGAATCTTAAAACCCTCAACCCAAATCCCTAAACCCTAAATCCTAAAACCTAAACCCTACACACACACGCACACGCACACACACACACACACACACACACACACACACACACTACCCACACACTACCCACCCTAGTCCCATCCAAGGGGCAACTTCGCACCACCCATGCGCTCCTCGCTCTCCGATTACCGCATTTGTCAAGGGGAACGTTTTAGGGTTTAGGGTTAGGGGTTAGGGTTTAGGGTTTAGGGTTTGGGGCTTGGGGTTTAGGGTTTGGGTTTTTTTGTCGCTCCCAAACCCTAAAGGGGTTTGGGGTTCTGGGTTTGGGGCTTGGCCCCTTGTAGTAACAGCCCTTAATAGGGATGCTAATAGGGGGTACTCGAATCCCTATGTTCGGGATTCATCGTTATAAGAAAGCAGCTTGTAGGAATCGTAAAAAGAAACCCTGTTATGGGGCGAAAGTTCAGGGTTTGGTGAGGAGCGTTCCAAATTTAAGGTGCGTTTACCACTAGGGGAGCCCCCCCGCCCGCCTCCCGAGAATCCTACAGGGTTGATCCGTTTTTGAGAGTTCAGGACCTAGGCGAAACCAATAAAGCCCAATTGAATTTGCATCTAAACTCTGTGCTCTAGCCGGGTGCTGAAGCTTCAAGCACCACACCTGCTGGAGGGTTTCGGGCTTAAAGTGGAAAGGGGCCATGTAGTAGGGGCTCACACCTTAAACCCTAAATCCGAAACCCATGAGCCCTAAGTCCAAAACCAATCCTCGAGGTCGCTGATCCGCTTCTTTCGCATCAGCGACCCTATCTTGCGGCCGCTGCCTCCGCTTACAGGGCTTAGGGCAGTTCAGGTTTGGGGTTTGTGGATATCTGGATAAGGTCCTCGTATCCCCAGGTCCTTGCTTGGGAAAAGTGGGGGGCACCCGAACATGGGGCCTTGTAGGCTCACCCTAAACCCTAAACCCTAAACCCTAAACCCTAAACCCTAAAACCCTAAACCCTAAACCTTAAACCCTAAACCCTAAACCCCAAACCCTAAACCCTAAACCTTAAACCCCTAAACCCTAAACCCCAAACCCTAAAACGCGGCCGAGGTGCCCTCCACACGACCCACGCCATCACGGAGGATCTCACAGAGCTGCACGTTCATCTTGTTCCTTGGTTTGGGTTTAGGGTTTAGGGTTTAGGGTTTAGGGTTTAGGGTTTAGGGTTTAGGGTTTAGGGTTTAGGGTTTAGGGTTTAGGGTTTAGGGGTTTCCAGCAACTTTCAGGCCCGCAAGTATGTTCGATGCAAGTACATTGACGTGAACGGGTTTAGGGTTTTGGGGTTCTTAGTGCAAAGACCTACTGTAGACTCGTAGACCAGAGCCGTTTTGGTTGTTTCTCCTGGCTGAGGCATCAGGATCTACACCAGACGCTTTAACAAGCCAGCATGCAGGCAACTACCAACTGCTTAGCAGTACGATTTGTTAAACATGGGGAAAAAGGCCACGATTGTTGTCGCCAGGATGTGGGCGTCCATGCACATGGTAGACGCGGTGTCAATCCCAGACCCACTCCACCCTAAGCGCATGACCAGAATCCAACATCCGTCCCTAACCAAAAAAAAGCTGAACTCATTGCGAGCCCGAAATGCAATCACCCTCCTGAACTAGATTAATGAAGCCTATAGACTTGGATTGATCCTAGAGAATACTAAACTAGACGACTGGAGGAGTGACTCTGAATGAACTGTATTTAGGCTCCGGTAGTGCAGCCCCTGGTCGGAAGCCAAGCTGCAACTCGAAAAGCAGCCGCTCGTCCAGGCCATGCTCCCGGCACCATTTCCTGCGACGGCACGTCTGCGACCCTCAAGCTTGAGGAGTTTGGGCTTCGGGCTTAGCGAAGATGAGTTAGGGCTGAGTGATTAGAGCTTTCATTGGACTTGCATCAAGAAGATGCTCGTCGGGTTCATCGCAGATTCGGCAGGGCATTAGGGTTTTGAGCTTCAGTTGGACACTTGCGCACGATGCGTGTATTGTGCCGGCGAGGTGCCAGGGAAACGCCCTGCTAAGCAGGTCATGGGGGCTGATCAGCATTGCAACTATTGTTGATAGGTTGTTCTTGTACAAATACTTGTCTTGCTACATGTTTCATGTTCCTATTAACAATTCGCGGTTTTGTTACTAGTCAATGCTGAAATAAAACTCTCCACCGATTGTGTTTTTCTATGTGGCATTGTATAACATAATTTGCTGCGGAATCTTATGTTGTACATGTATACTGCAACATATATACATATGTTGTTGTATGAGAATAAACTACATAAAGTTAAAGGCTACTTCTGCGGTTGGGCTCAACGCAGCTTGCGGTTGGGCTCAACGCAGCTTGCTTCCGACATTTCTGACAACAGGCCGGGCCACCTTCCCCACAAACTCTGCAAGGGCCCTTCTCGAACCCTCTCACCTAAACCCTAAACCCTACACCCCAAACCCTAACCCTAAACCCTAAACCCTAAACCCTAAACCCTAAACCCTCCCACCCTCAATCTTGAACGCGCACGCATCCTGACATCGCCCCGCGCAGAGTTCAAGATCAGCTGGCCATACAACCCAAACTGCTAGGCAATAATCTGGTTTAGGGTTTAGGGTTTAGGGTTTAGGGTTTAGGGTTTAGGATAACAAAACGGCAAGAAAAACGGATCCTCACCCCAAAACTCAGCCCCCCACCCACCCTTCAAAGCCCTGAATCTGAAACGCGTCGGGAGCAAACACAAGAACCCTAAACAACCTACACCCTCCCGAAAGCCCCGCCTATCTCCAGTCCACCATGATCCTTGAAAGACCTATATGCCAAAACCCGTCACACAAATCATGAAAAAAAAACAGCTCGGCGCCCGCAAAACAAGAAGCAAGGCCTACTAAAGACCCCCTAAAGCCCCTTGCAAAGATAGACCAACAACAGTCCAAACAAGAATCTCAGCTCTTTAGCCACCAAACTGAAACCCAGAAGCCACATAACCTCAACCCCCCTCAACCCTAAACCTTGAAAAACATAAACCCTCTCTCTCCTTCTTCTACTTCTTCTTCCGTCCCGCTCTCTCTCCCTGTCGCTCTCTCCTCCTCTGTCCCGGGCATTCGAAAGGTCAAACCCTAAACACCCAAACCCACTGAAACCCCCCTAAAACCCCCTAAAGGCCCCCTCAAGCCCGCTCGAACCCCCTGAACCCACCAAAGCCCCCAAAGCAACATCCCGAAACCCGAGTCCTGGAGCGGGAGTCGCTACCACCCTCACGTCGGGAGCGCTCGTGGAGCCAGGTCTGATACACCCTCAGCCTCCGGCTTTTGCGGTTTAGGCCTTAGGGTCGTTAAGTTAGGTTTGCGCTTTTTTGGGGGGCGATAGGGTTTAGGGCTTTTGGCTTTGTAGCAAGACGCAATGAATTCGTGTTGAAGTCGGGGCGGGGGGGGGGAGGCTGGATTCTTGGATTCTATGGCCCAGCACCAGAGCTGGCACTTGTACGCAGCATCCTAGCTCAAGCTGATCAAAGGAGCTCAGGGTTTAGGGTTTAGGGTTTATAGTTTATAGGGTATAGGGTACAGGGTTTTTTTGGTTGTTAAACGATCCATCCACCGCGCCTCTTCATACTATGACATCGGTCCTACACACACCACCTTGGTTCCAAGTCTGCCAGTAAGAATCTCCTTCAACCCTAAGCCCTATAAACCCCTAAAGAACCCTGATCAGAGCCCCAACAGAGACCCAGTGATTGTTTGGCCTAGTGGGAACCCGAAACCCGAAACCCGAAACCCGAAACCCGAAACCCGAAACCCGAAACCCTAAACCCTAACCCTAAACCCTAAACCATAACCCTATACCCTGATCCAAGCGGCGTGGTGAAAAGGTCTCCGCGCTTGTGGTCGAACCTGCACGAGGTGTCGGCGCCAAAGATCTGGTCACACCCCAAAGCTCTCTACTTGAAGGTTCATGGGTACCTACGAGTAGGGTTAAGAACTTTCTAAGAACCCCGTAAGAACCCCCTAAGAACCCCTAAGAACCCCCTAAGAAGTAGCCTTAAATAAGGTTATAACCATATAGTTAACCCATGTATAACCCTTGGTATAAGTACCCATGAACCTCCAAGTTGCCTTAAACCCTAACCCGAAACCCGAAACCCGAAACCCGACACCCGAAACCCCAAACCCCAAACCCTAAACCCTAAACCCTATATGAACCCTAAACCCTAAACACTAAACCCATTCCTGTCGTCGCAAGGCAGGGAGGCACCAGCATGCCGAGGCACTTGCAGCGGCCGCCTCCCCGCTCGCCATGCTTCCTGGTATTAGCACGCGCGGGGGTCAGGGTGAATCCCCTTCTCTTTACCCTAAACCCTTTTTTGAACCCAGACTCTGTAAGTTACCCTAAACCCTAAACCCTAAACCCTAAACCAGGGTGAATCCCCTTCCCTTGACCCTTGCTTGGAAGTTTAGGGTACTTATAACCCCAATGACGACAACAGCACTTATAAGCCCCGTAAGTCCCCTAAGTCCTCTCAGGTTATAAATAGACTAATAATTGGTGCTATAAGTACCAAGTAGAGCACACCAAAAGAACCCTGAGCCTCAAATACCAAGCGGCTGCAGCCGGGGCGAGTGCAAGCCCACTGCGGACGCAAGAACCACAGCGCTGCCCTGCACCTGGCGCAGCGCGAGGGTTTAGGTCTGAGAGTTTTAAGGGTCTTGGGGTTGAGGGTCCTAGGGCCTTAGGGACTCTATAGGGGCTTAGGATCCCGAAGCCACGGGCGTGGCGGAGCTGACACGGGATCCACAACCCGAATCCCCCCACCAAGTCCAATGGCAGCCCAACAATTAGAAGCCTACTTATGACCTACTTGGAGGGAGGACTTGGGGGGCTTAGGGGGCGTTTTGGTAGAGTTGTAATTAGGGTTATGAATACCCTGAACCTCCAAGTAGGGCTCCCCTTGGATGCGGTCTGAGAGGTGTGGGCCAAGCGCAGGTATTGCGGTTGGTGTTTTCGGCTTCTGTTCTAGATTGGAACCCCCCGCCCCCCTCTGCCAGAAAAACCGCAAGCCCAAACCCGAAGACCCTGCCGCTCTTCAGGGATAGCGCTATAGAGGTTTAGGGTTTCAGGTTTAGGGTAACCCTAAACCCTAAACCCTCAAACCCGGCCTGGAAGACGAGCGACAGGAGCAGCATCTTGCCGATGCCCACGTCCAGAGGCATCCGGGAGAGCACGCGCCCTCTGGGGCTTTAGGGTTTAGGGCTAGGGTTTAGGGTTTAGGGTTTAGGGTTTAGGGTTTAGGGTTAGGGGCTTAGGGGTTTAGGGTTTAGGGCTCGGGTTTAGGGTTTAGGGGTTGGGGGTTGGGGGTTAGGGGTTTACGTTAGGGGCTTCGGGGGCTTTAGGGGTTTAGGGTTTAGGGCTTAGGGTTAAGGACTTTAGGGGATTTACGGGCTTTAGGGTTTCGGGCCAGGGTTTAGGGGGGTTGTGGGTTTAGGGTTATAGGGACTCTAGGGGTTTAGGGTTTAGGGCTAGGGCTTAGGAGTTTTCAGGTTTTAGGGGCTTAGGGGGGGGGGTTTTCGAGTTTAGGGGTTTAGGGGTTTAAGGGTTTTAGGGGTTTAGGGGTTTGGGGGGTTAAGGGGTTAAGGGTTTAGAGGTTTTAGGGGCTTAGCGGTTTATAGAGGCTTAGGCGGCTTAGGGTTTAGGGGTACTTGGTGGCCAGGGCGGTGGCAATATTAAATCGAATCCGCTGAAACTTAACTGTGGGTTAGGGCCTTCAAGGTTTATCTGGAGCTTTATCTTGGGTACTTCTAAGTCGGGCTATTTGTAGGGTACCTATGGTGGATAACCTGATTTAGGGCACTTGTAACCCCACTGGTTTAGGGCTTGGGGTTTAGGGACAAGGACTTAGAGGTTAACGGGCTTAGGGGTTTTAGGGGTTTAGGGTTGAAGGTTTAGGGTTTATAGGGGTTTAGGGGGGTTTAGGGGTGTAGGGTTTAGGGGTTTAGGGGATCAGGGTTGAGGGGGGGTTCTTGGTTTACGGGCTTAGGGGTTTAGGAATTCTTAAAACGGCTTTTGGGCCCTGAAACTCCGCGGGAATTGAGACCCCAGAACCCTCCTTCGGAGTACCGGTCCCTCGACAGGAGGGTTGTTGCAGCCTTGAGGTGGGCCGCCCCAAAGCAGTGTAGAAACCACTCCTGTGGTCCAAGGCGTGACGTAGTCTGGCGCCCAGGCCTCATCACCCGTGCCCAGCGGTGGTCTTTCGCCAGACGCGATAGGCGTTGCTTTCATCTGCTTGATGTCCTTGGGGACGAAGATCAGGTCATCATAGCATGCGCTGCTGCTGCTGCTAGACGGTGTGTTTGGCACTCGTCAGCCACGTGTGCCTCACTCCGCACCTCGGCATGGGCTTCTGCCGGGATGGCCACGCATGACTTCACCCGCTCGTTCGCACGCCTGTTCTGGAGGGCCTTGAAGGGATGGGCTTTTGGGAAAAGTGTTCTTGAAAGGGGGAATAATACTGACCGCCTTATGGTTACCAAGGGGAAAGGTATATTGAACAACTACAACGTCTCGCCACCCCTAGCCCTTGGGGTTAAAACATTTGCATGTGTCTGCTAGACCTATAGGAATTTAGTCGCAATTTTTGGGGACGAGTTTCCAAGGTTAGTGTGGGCTGAGGGCTGTACTCTCTTGAGGCCCACAGTGCGACTGTGACTTCCGAACCCTCAAGATTTCGGGTGTGTATGAGTGCCAAACCCTAAACCCTAAGCTTCCCTAAACCCTAAACCCTAAACCCTAAACCCCAAACCCTAAACCCTAAACATCCCTAAACCCTAAACCCTACCCTAAACCCTAATCCTAAGGGTCCGGGGGGTCGGGTGACCAGGGTCCCACGTCGTACCTAGAGGCGTGAGCGCAAGCAAGTGCTGCGGCGTCGAGGAGAAGGCGTCCTGAGGGGGGGGGGGGAGATCAGTGCTTAGGCTTCAGGGTTTACTCATGTGCAACCGGACTGCACCCGAAGCCCGAAGCCCTCTAAACCCCAAAAATGTGCCAACAAAACCCTAAACCCTAAACCCTAAACCCCTGTTAGTAGCAGGGGGAACATCCCAGCCGAAACATGTGCCAACAAAAGAAAAGGAAAGAACAAAAAAGATAAGGTATCGGTCCAGGCCCAGCGCGCTCAGGGTCGCCTCTGTCTGCTGCAGGCCGAAGCCGGAGAGCCAGCCCCCGGCCTTATGGACTCCGAGTGAGGGCTCAGGGCTTTGTCGTTTCGAGCTTACAGGATTTGGGAATTGGGGTTTAGGGCTTGGGGTTTAGGGGGTGGGGTTTAAAGGGTTTGGGCTTTGGGGTTTAGGTTTTGAAAGCGTGGGGTTTAGGGTGGCCAAAAGCAGCCTTGTACGTCCAATTGCCCAAAAAACTTCTATGTTTTCAACACCATGTATCTTCCAGACCATTTAGACCCTACTTCTAAGCAAGCCGCAGGCGAGGAGCGTACGTGAAGAGCCAGCCACACACTTGGTGAGCCAGGAACGATTGTACGATTCACTGCCTTTCTGACAAGAACCATGGTGCACCAACCTTATCCCAACCCTCGATGACCGAAGGCTCTTGGGTTCCGAAGTCAACCTAGAACTTGACAAGCTTGACCCAATATCCCGACAAGCGCAGCAGCAACGCTGCCAAATACCCTTAAACCCTAAACCTTATACACCCTTTGTGCCGCATATTGGCCAGAGAGCAAAAAAAGGCCTCTTTGATGATCTCAAGGAGCCTCGTAAATACGTTAAGCCCTAAACCCCATCCCCTAGCATTGGAAACCTACTTGAATGAATGCCTAAGGTCAGAACCATAGTTACCCTACATAAAGCCTACGTACTTCGAGGTACCCACATGAACCTCCAAAAGCCCCCTCCCAAAACCCTAAACCCCAAATAGGCCCTAAGCTCTCCACCCTGGACTCCGGCGCGTCGGCAGCCACCAGTGCCGCGCCCTCACGCGCCTGCGGCGGCGCCATGCCGAGGGCCTGTGAGGTGGGACAGGTTTGGAGTTGCAGACGCAACAGTCCGGGGCAACTGCGCGAAGAGCGGTAGCAGGAAGTCTCTCCCTCGGCTTCTAGAACGCGGCTTTCTGCAACTAGTTCTCTAAGGCACTCGAGCTCCTCACAGCAAGCGTGGGCCCGGGTCAACAACATACCCCCCCCCCCCTGTTTCCATGTGTTTCATCACTACTCATCTGCTTCGCTCACCCTCCCGCTTGGCCTCGTCCGGACTAGCCCTGCTTTATCATTCCCCTGTCCGTGTCCCTTGGTCTCGCTTTTGGACAGCCCGAGAACATCCAGTCGCTCATGTCAGTCCATTGTTATCTCAGCCGGGGCCACGCTTACGGTGGGGATGGCTGAGGGTCGTGAAGGCGCCAGCCCTAGAGTTGCATGGTGTGCGTGCACAAGTTTAAGCCGTGCACCCCGGTAAGCGATTCACCTAGGGACAAGTGCAGGGCTTATTATAGGGGTCTAGGGTTGTAAGAAGATATGAGAGTGTCATGCGCAGCTTGCACTTGGCGATAAACATGTACGAATTGAGACGAATTGACATGCATTAATTCATGCAGTATGCACAGGGGATTCATTGCTTGCACAGCTTGCAAAAGTTTAATGCTTGCACCATTTGCAACATGCAGTACAAATTATCTAGGGCGCTTCTACCCTCGACCGACACACACTACTGGTCGTCCTAGTGCTTGGCAAGGGTTAGCTGCTTTCTTACAGCGCAATCGCCTCAGGGTCGGTACAGCATTGCAACCAACTCACCTCAGCACCGGCTGGCGTTGTGGGCTCCTGGCAAGAGGCCGCGGCCCCAATGCATCCATCAAGTTGATGACCGACGACGCTCCCCCATCTCCACAGCCTCTGGCACTGCTGCGCCCTCCATGCTGTGTAGTGGGTGGCGCCCTGTACCGCAGCTGGGAAATCCTGTCCAGAAGCGTCTTGCTGTTCTCGTGGATGGCCGTGGCCCCACCGGCAACATCTCGCAAGGCCTCTGCGCAGCTCTCGCTATGCGACCAAAGGTTGTCCACCATGTCTTTGAGATGCGTGCGCAGCTCGCTGGTGACCTCGTCCAGGTACTCAAACTTCTTAGTCAGGTCGAGCTGCTGAATGTCCGCCCCCACCTTTTCCAACAGTGCTGTTGCTGCCTGCGTGTTGGAGGCTATGGTCTGCAGGGCTTCGCTGACCGCCATCATCTCTTTGACTCCCCTGTCCACATGTGCCGCGAGCGTATTCTTCAACTCCTTTTGCTCTGAGCCCAACAACTCCACTGTCTGGAAGGTGTCCGTCTCCTTCTGCAGGATGGATGCAATCTGAACATAGTGGCTTCCGTGGGTCTTCCTGTTCTCGCTCCGGAACTCGCGCAGGAAAGTGTCCACATCCTCCAACTTCGTCTTGATTTTGCCTTGCGTTGTGGCTACCTCATCCAGCATTTCCGAGGACTTCACCATGTCCGCCCCAATTTGTGTGAGGGCCTTGCTCATCCCGGTGCCCTTGACCTCTGCGGTCTCGCTCTTGGTCATGGCCTTCTTGGAGATTTCCTGGACCTCTTCCACTTTGCGCAGGGCCTCCGTGATGCTGTCCGTTTCATGGCGTACCTGCGTCTCCACACTCGCCATCTTCGCCATGATGGGGTTCACCTCCTTCTGGACATCTTCCAAGAACTGCACCCTGGCCTCCTTCAGGATTTCTTTGATGATCTCCAGGACTGGGGCTCTCGGGGTGGGTGCACTCGTTGGAGCAGAGGCTTTCCCCCAGTGTCTGGCACTCCACGACACCACCACCATCACAAAGACGCCCAGGGCAACCATGCGGGTGAGGTTCAGGCCATCATTGGTCTCCACTGCCTCAAGCAATGTCCAGGCTCGTGCGATAGCGTCTGCCATGAGGGCACACAGGGGGCGAAATAGGTCAGTTTTTGAAGAGAAAGCTTTTGAGCAAGGGTTTGCTGCGCGAAGCGCTCTGCGAGTGCGGAATGCTGGTGGTCCATCTGCCCCGCGTTCTGTCTGCATAGCCTCTTGCACCTGCATACTGTTTGCCTAGCATCTTTCACGCTGGGCAGGTATGAGGTCGCATTTTCCTGTACATTCAAACGAGAAAAGGTGGGATTTTCGGGCAAAATGACCAATTCGGACAGCGTTCAAGAAATCGAATACAAAGCGAATTGAATGAATTCTATTTCGAGCCGTATGATGCAATTAGTCATATACGATACGCATTTGATGAAGAGTTGATACTTCGAGTCAAAACAAATCTCCCAAGGCATGTCCACGAGGTAGGTGCTAGTCAGAAACTGTGCTTCTGCTGCATTTAGAGTTTCTGGGGGGGGATTGGGGTATGGGGGAGTCCTCCGTTTTTTTGAGGTACCTGTCATGAACATGGAAGCCCCTGTGAAAAAGGGATGGACCGTTCTCAGAACAACCGCCGAGGACCCACTCGCCTGCCAGTCGAGGGGAATGGCTGCGCGCATGAGCAGCCTCGGCGAGCTGGGGGTTTCCAAAATTATATAGTACCTTATTGGGGTCTTAGGGTTTAGGGTTTAGGGCCATAAGGGAATCTTACTATTTGGGGGGGGGGGGGGGGGGTCCCCTACTTTCGTAAACTCCCAGTTGTTCTCCTGATTCAGGCATTGGGCTTCGGGTTTACAAGGTTTAGGCTTCCATGTTTACGGTTTGTGGGGTTGGTTCGGGATTCGGGTTGCAGGCTTCAGGGCAATCCACCCTTTAACTTATCGGGTTTCTAGGACTTCGGGCGCTTCGGGATGTTTGGGGGAGGCTCAAGGAGGCTCCGAAAGCTCGAAAGCTGAATCTGCAGGGTTGAGGGTTTGGGATTTAGAGTTTAGGGTTTAGGCGGGTCCGCGGAACCCAACGTGGGGAGGGAGGATTCGGGCTAAGGGTGCGAGGGTATAGCACATAGTATAGGCCCTTTGAAATTGGGGCTCTTGAGTGACCCTATAAACTCCTGCAAGGAGGGCACCGAGTTGCAGGCACAGTGATGTTTAAAGGCTCTATATGGGGTTTCAATTACCCAAAACTGAGGGTTGCACATCCCTTGGTTTAAGTCTAGTTGGTATAAGTATCGGGGCCCGCTCCTTGGATGAATCTTGCCTGCACTTACACTTCTACCGACACTATGATAACTATGGAGCAACCCGCCGACCGAAACCTAAACCCACCATCCCCCCTACGAACTCAACCCTAAACCCCAAACCCCAAACCCTAAACCCTAAGCCCTAAACCCTATGAACCCCAAAGTACGCCAGGCAGCAGCCGCTGAAGTGCCGCCGCGACCGCCTCAGCTCGAGGAGACTCCGGCAGGCGGAAGCCTCGGAAAGGGTGGGGTTGAGGGGTTTAGGGCTTAGGGGTTTTGAATTCGGGTTGGGTGTTAGGGAGATGTTTAGGGCATGGGCTTTTTGTTGTGGGGGTTTAGGGTTAGGGTTTAGAGGGCATACGTTTTCGGGTTCTTACGGCGATGAAGGATGTCTGCGGCTTGGGGTTTTCGATTGGTATTCATGTGGCTAGCCCTCACCATTCGAGGTTGATCCATTACCTCCACGAAACCCAACTGTGTGTGTATATATATATATATATTATGTATATGTATATGTACATGTATATATATATAGACATACAGAGATACACACACGCACATATATATATATATATATATATGTATATGTATATATATATATATATGTGTGTGTGTAGCGGCCCTTGCACCTTCGCGAAACACAGCATCCCAAAACACCCAGGGTCCGGAGTCCTGGTACGCGAAGCCTTCACAAAAAAAAGCTTTCAGCAAGTCTCCGGAACATAAGGGTTTAGGGTTTAGGGTTTAGAGCCTAGTATTCGGCTTAAACCCTAAACCGAAGGCCCCTCAACCGTTGTTGTGTGGGAGTCCCTGGCGTTCAGAGCCCAAGTTTACGAGATATCCAGGTTCAGGCGCCGCACAGGGTTTAGGGGTACCCGTCTCAGACCCCCCCCCCTTTTTCCTGAAACCTCAAAAGCCAAAGTCTGTTGATGCCCAAGCTTCGGTGCAAGTCCATGCCCAGGGCCATCACTTGCAGCAGCGGCCCCTGGCAATTCGGCTTAGGGCTTAGGGGTTTAGGGTATAGGGGTAGGGTTAAGCCCGAATTAAACCCTAAACCCTGAACCCCCTTTTGAATCCCAAACCCCCTAAGCCCTCTCGGCTGTGGGACCGAGCCTCCAGGGCTGCGCGGTGCACCTGCCCAGGGAGCAGATTCTTGGGGGGGCTTGGGAGGGTTTCAGGGGGCGTGCTGGTGGGGGTTGGGGCTTGGGTATGGTTTAGGGTTTAGGGTTTAGGGCTTAGGGCTTAGAGCTTAGGGTTTAGGGTGTAGGGTTCCAAGGGCTTAGGGTTTAACGTTTAGGGTTTACTTGGAGGTTCTTTTGGGTACTTATAAGTAAGGGAATAGGTACGCTAAATAAGCTTATGGCCATAGCTGCCCTGCTCATAACCCTACTTAGAAGTACCCAAACGAACCTCCAGGTAAGCTTTTTATTTGTTCAGGGGCCTCAGGGGATTCCAGGTCGTCCTTTTCGTGGCGGCTGCTACCAACACAACTTCAAGCTGAAAAGCCTCTCACCCCCCTTCATGTGGGCATTGAAAAGTAGGGCAAGTAGGGTCCTACGCAGTGTAACTATGGGCTATGACCTGCCCATAAACCTGCTCAGAAGCCAGGAACCTTCAAGTATCCTCAACCCTAAACCCTACACCCCAAACCCGACTAAACCCGAAACCCGAAACCCTAAACCCCAAACCCCAAACCCTAAAACCTAAAACAGCCCACAAAAACTCCCATGGCGCCGAAACCAGAACCCCCCCCCCCCCCCCCCCCCCCACGACCTCAGGCTGTGTGTAGCGCTCCAGCTCGCCGAAGAGCCTGGACAGCACGACTTGTGGGAATGCTGAGGGGTTTAGGGTTTAGGGTTTACGGTTCTTATGAAGGGCCTGTTGCTTAGGGTTAGTTAGGATCGGGATTATACTAGGGGGTACGAAAGTCCCTAATAAGGACTGCTAGTATAAGGGGGGAACATCCCAAGGCATTTTGTTTAAGGTTTACTGTAGGGTTTAGGGTTTTGGGGTTTTTTGGGTTTAGGGTTTAGAGCGGGGGTCCTGCAAGCCTTGGTAGCCCAATAACCATCCTAGGGTTTCGGGCACCCGCTTTGGGGTTGGCCACTTTAGAAGGGGGCCTAGCACCCGAGAAAAAAAATCAATAGTGCAATCTAACCCCAAGATGCCCGATCAACCCCCCAAAGAAGGATTCGCAAGATTTAGTTCTTTGAGCCCTACTATCCCGAGTCAGTCACTCTGCCAGCATGGGGGTTGAACTTCAGATTCTGCCAGCGGGGTAAGGACGCTAGCTTCCCCCAGGGTTAGGGTTTGGGGCTTATAGGGTCGCCCAGGCCAACCTAAACCCTATAAATCATGAGCTCCTTGACTAAAGCAGACAACACGGCTGAACTTCAAAAATAGAACTCTCAGGCCACAGCCCTTAAAGCCCTGCTGCCGGTCTGAATCAATATTTGGGCGGGGGGGGGGGGAGTTTGAATTAGAGTATCTTGGGTAGCTCATAACTCATAACTACAGATTGCTTAAGAACACCAAAAAAACCAAAAAATCTTCCTTGTAAGGGTAGTCTCTCTCTCTCTCTGCCAGGAGAATATAGGGACTATTACTATTGCTACTACTGTTATTAGTAAATAATATTAATACCTTGTATGTTTTAATATAATTTTTGGGGGGTTCTTAAGCAAATAGTAGATAATGTAGAGTTCTAGGGAGTATCGAGGGTTACTATTGGCATGTATTTCGCTTCCGTGCTTAGGCACGTTTCTGCCCATAACTTTTAAAAAATTTCCTCTCAGACTCACTAGACCCTTAACCCCAAACCCTTACAAAGACATATGGCTTGGAGCTTCAAGAGTTTGAGGCTCGGGGTTCTCCATTCCTGCATGGTGACAAAAAGCACTTCACTTGTTTTCGCGGCCCTCGCCAAACCCTACCGGAAGCCCCTCCGAAGCCGAGCTCAAGCTTCATCCCCAAACGCTGTGCTCCAGGTCTCAACCCCTTTGAACCCCAAACCCCTAAACCCTAAACCCCTACACCCCTACACCCCTAAACCCTATACCCTAAACCCTAAACCCTAAACCCTAAACCCTGAACCCTAAACCCTAAACCCTCGACCCTAGACCCTAGGCCCAGACCAAACTGAACCCAAAGAGCCCCAAAGCCTCTCGGAGAAGAGCCGGTAGCACCGCCCGGGTCCCGTTCGACCGGCGCGGCCTTTCCTGTCCCAGTGGCTGAAGGCATTTTCGGCTTTCCCTAAACCCTAAACCCTAAACCCTAAACCCTAAACCTAACCTAGACCCCACATTCCTAAACCCCAAACCATAAACCTCTAAAGGTTTACAATCACGCAGCTTCTTGGGCTTCTAAAAGTTGCAAGGTTTGGGGGCTCGGATTGTGGTGGCGTTCGCCGCGAGGTGGTGGTTTCAGGTACCCTAAATCAGGATATCACCATACCTACCCTACTCTTAAGCCATGAACCTCAAAGTAGCCCTAAACCCTAAACCCTAAACTACCCATGAGCCAAGAACCTCCCGTGCCCCCCCCACCCCCGATTCTTGGGAGCTGGTGTAGGAAACTAAGAAGTTAGGTCACCCACAAGGGTGGTGGTCAAAATTATCATCCCTTTTGGGGTACCCAAAATTTTAGGTGCCATACTATAATAAAGGGGATTCTAAGGGAACCCTAACCTTAAAAAAAGGGCAAACAGGGCCTCTAGATAGGGGAACCATAATCTTGACCACCACCCACAAAGGGGCCGGGCATGGGCGTCTGAGAAGTCGCTTGCTCTTGCTCTAGGCTTCAGAGGGTTCTTAAGGGGAGGGGTAAACCCTAAACCCTAAAGCCTAAGCCCTAAACCCTGAACCCTAAACCCTAAACCCTAAACCCTAAGCCCTAAGCCCTAAGCCCTAAACCCTAAACCCTATTGGCCCGTTATAATCACCCTTGGGTGCCACCTTGGGGGAGCCCTCAACCTCAAAACCTCAAAATTCCGCAACAACCGGCAAGAAGGCCCCTCTCGCCTCTGATCGGCTGCCGCCTACCCATGAACTTGGAAGTGTTGGGGGGTTGCGCGGCAGAGGGCTTCAGGGCCCCCCGGGAAGTCACAGCCCAAACCCTGAAGCCCTCCCTGTAAACACCTTCTTGCATACGCCCGGAAGTGACCCACCCTTTCTCCGAACAAGGCCTCTATGCCCCAAAAACATCCCACAAACCTAGCCCCTAGACCCCTGAAACGTCTGAGGGGGCGATGAGGCTTGGAATTTGGGGCCTTGTAAAGGTGAATCCAGCACCCAGGGCTGCACCCAAGAGCCCGACCCTTTTGCAACCGGCGTGCAACGACGCGGCGCAAACCTCCTGAAAGTTAGTCGTCCACTACCCTAGGGGAACTTAAGGCGAAGCTTTGGGATTCTCAAGGGACTAGAGGACCTCAAACATGCTTAAAGGCTACCTACTCCACTACTAAGGAAACCCCTAAACCCTAACCCCTAACCCCTAACCCCTAAACCCTAAACCCTAGACCCTAGACTCTAAACAAAAACCCTTTCTGAACCCAGGCTCAATTTTGTCGAGCTCGGAAGTCGGTCACACCGCGCTCTGCAACCCTTTTTTCCTTAACCCTCAACCCCTAAACCCCAAACCCTGAACCCAACAAGGCTGAAGCTCACCGACTCCGCACTACCAAGGGGAGCCCGTGAGTGGCTCCACAACCCCTTCATGAAGGGACATCCCTAAAATTATAATAGGAACCCCAATATGATTTAAGGTGCAAAGCCCTAAACCCTAAACCCTAAACCCTAAACCCTAAACCCGAAATCCTAAACCCTAAACCCTAAACCCTAAACCCTGGAAGCCAGTGGCCTGAGAGACCCAGCGTTCGGAGAGGTGCCGCACGGCCGACGCTGCGTCGACGTCCAAGCCTTCCGAAATATAGGGGCCCTTGAAAGGAGGTTCGGGTTTAGGGTTTAGGGTTTAGGGTTTAGGGTTTAGGGTTTAGGGTTTAGGGTTTAGGGTTTAGGGTTTAGGGTTTAGGGTTTAGGGTTTAGGGTTTAGGGTTTAGGGTTTAGGGTTTAGGGTTGAGGGCCTTGACAAGGCGGGGCCCAGGTTGTAGGGTATAGGGGTTTTTGGAGGCCGTTTGAAGGAGGGGGTTCAAGGCTTAGGGTTTAGGGAGATTGAGGCTCAAGGTCCAGGGCTTCAGGGGCGGGTGTAGGAGATTGGTCCGAGGAGGAAAGGGGTGACTTCTAAGGGAGGGGTTGGGAGGCTCGGAGCTCAGGGTGCAAGAGACCTTGTTGCATCAGGGTTTAGGGTCTTAGGGTCGAGAGCCCTATGCTCAAACCCTAAACCTGAAAAAAAAAAAAAAAACCTTTTGCAGCCGGCTTGGAAGGGTACGCCCGGACATGTTCAGGTTTTCACGCAGCAGGAGGTTCCAAGGCCTTCGGTTTCTAAACCCGAAGCCCTTGACCCTAAGCACCCAACCTCGGGCTCCCAAGCTGACTGTGAGGGTCAAAAGGGTTAAAATTCATGGAGGTTTGTTTCTGCCACCCGCACTCCCATGGAGTGTTACAAGGTTCAGGGGCACTTAGAAGTACGGTTGTAGGAACCCTTAAATACCCTGCTTCCGACCCTACATATACGTACCCAAACGAACCTCCAAGTAGAGTTTCGGGCTTGGCTTCATAAATCGGGGACCTTATATACCCCTGGACCCTAAACCCTAAACCCTGAACCCTGAACCCTAAACCGCAAACTTTGGGAGGGTGCCAGAGCCTCGCATCTTGCCGCTGTCGATGACAAAGCGGACCCCGTCGATCGTGACGGACGTCTCCGCGATGTTCGTGGCGATGACCACCTGAGAGTGCACGGTTTTGAGGTTTGGGTTTAGGGTTTATAGGGTTTATAGGGTTAAAAGTTTAAAGTCTAGGGTTCAGGATTTAGGGTTTAGGGTTTGTTTTGAACCCAGACTCCTGAAGTCAGCTGGGAAAGGCCTTTGACAAACTCTCTGCCCAGGCAGACATACATACATTCTGCCCATAAACCCTAAGCCCTATCGGCCACCAAACGTCAAACTCACAAACAAAGCTGGGGCTGCTTCTCAGGGCCTCACAAAACATCGAACTGGAGCCCGAGTCGCGAAACTTAGGAGACAAAAGGGGCGCCCTTCGTTGCGGAAAGAGGTCTTCTTCGAAGTAGGGTTTAGGGTTTAGGGTTTAGGGTTTAGGAGACATTCCTAAACCTTAAAATCCCGTAGCAGGGGTACAAGGGGACCACTGGGTGTCCTAGAGAGCCTGTGTGAATTGAGGATCTGCGAAATGTGACAGCAAACGTTGCGCAGATGTCTCAGGGCTTTAGGGTTTGTAATTTGGCTTTAGGATGGAACGCGTGCGCCCCAATGGGGTTTAGGGTGCTAAGAGCACCTACTACCGGGAATCAGGGTACTGCTGTAGAGTTGAGTGGGCAACAGCTCTTTGGAAGCCAAACCTTCGTCCTCCCCCCTGCGAAGGAGGTGTATCCTTTCTCGGCGTGTTGGGCTTTTTGTTTGGGGGGGAAGAGGGCCGTGCCTTCCGCACGCCTTGCGGTGCGATTCCGAAGACTTTGTCCTGCGTAGCGGGGAAGGTTTGTTTGGGGACTTTAGAACCTTCAGATGTAGTGCTCAGGGTTTACCGTCTAGGGATGGAGCTTAGGGTTTACCGTCTAGGGATCGAAGTTGGGTAACTATCGTTCCAACCGTATTCAGGGTACTTAAGGCCCTTCAAAGGGTTTGGGCGAAGTGGGCTGTCAAGGTAGGGCATCGGAGCGATTTTTTTGTCTGGAGGGAGGGGGGGGAGGGGGCGGCTTAACCTGGCTTCTCTATGAGACCAGAGAGCTTCGTTCGGGCATAAAAGTTAAATAATAAACCCCAACCCCCAGAACTGAACTCCCCAAACCCCCTAAACTTGTGCGTTGCTTCAGGTGTCTTGGGGGCCCCCTTGACCCTAACCCCAAACGAACCAAACCTCTACTTGGAGCTTCAGGCACTTACTAACCAACCATAACTGTACTTTATAGCACACTTACAAGCTCCTTAAGTGCCCTAGTATGGCTACAAAGAACAGTTATAAGTGCTGTTATCATTGGTTAATAAGTAACATGAACCTCCAAGTACCTAGTGCAAGGGACTCCTGTGACTCCACCGGCATCTGTGAGTGCAGCGGCAGTGGTAGCCACCTCCCGCCAGCCGGAAAGGACTTCCAAGAGGTTTAAGCTTGTCTCGCTTAGAGGGTCCCTAAACTTAAACCCTAAACCCTAAACCCTAAACCCTAAACCCTAAACCCTGAACCCTAAACCCTAAACCCTAAACCCTAAACCCTAAACCCTAAACCCTAAACCCTAAACCCTAAACCCTAAACCCTAAACCCTAAACCCTAAACCCTAAACCCTAAACCCTAACCCTAAGGCTTCGGGAGTCTTAGAGGGTTTAGGGCTTAGGGAGTGGTAGAGGGTTTAGGATTTAGGGTGTCTTAGAGGGTTTGGGGTTTAGGGCTTAAAGTTTTTGTGCTTATCTTAGGAATATACATGGATGGCAGGCACAAGGCACAAGGGGATTTGCAAGATAAGTGAGTATTTTTCGGCTGCCGCACTACTTTTTCCCTACCTGCCGCCTCGAGCCCAAACATAACAAGCCCAAGACCATGACCAGACCCCCACTCGGACTCTTCCCCCAAACCCTAAACCCTAAACCCTAAACCCTGCTTGGAGGTTCATGGTAGGGAGATAAGTAGAGTGAGCATGGTTGTGACCTTCTGTTAGGGCACTCAATAACCCTACCCTACTTGGAGATTCATGGTAGGGTTATAAGTAGCGTGACTATGGTTGTAACCCTATTTTGGGGTACTGACAGTCCCACTTCTAAGTACCCAGGACTTGGCTGCACTCAGGAGGGTAGCTATAAATTAAACTTTTAGCTGCCTTAATAAGAAACCCAATAAACCCAAAAAAGGTAAGGATCTAAAGTTACAGCAAAGTGCCACAAAGAGGAGGCACTCCATGCAAAAAGCCTCCGCGTGCGTGCGGCCATCTCAGACACCGCGCCCACGAGGGCCTCGATCCTGGACGAGTTGCGCTCATGGTGCACCAAGAGCCCTAGGAACGAAAAGGGTACCTTCTTTTTGGTTTTCAGGGGATTATAAGGGAGCCCAACCCCTAAAAAAAGGGAAAAAAGGGCCTACTCCTGGTCCTAGAGGTGCACCAAGAGCCCTAGTTTTGGGTGCCGCGCAAGATGGCCAGTGGAATGTAGCATGAAGGCCAGGTGCCCACAAAATGAAACTACTTGGAGGTTCATGGGTACTTATAACTTACTGCTGGTTAGTTTTGGAAAGGGGAATGGGGAATGAGGCACCCTATATCCCCCTATATATACCCTTTAAGGGACTATATAGGGTACCTCATTCCCTATTAACCAACAGCAAAATAATTGGGGTATAAGTAGGGTAACCATTCTGATGGCTCTACGTACAAGTACCCAGACTCTTGGGCTTGGGGAGGGCTCAGGAAATGCCAGAACTCAACCCTTTAAGGGCTTAGGGTTGGGGAGGTGTAGGGTTTGGGGTTTGGGGTTTGGGGTTTAGGGTTTAGGGTCAGGGAGGGCTCGAGGGCTTAGGAAACCCGTTAGGCCATCTATTCGTGTGGTCCGAGGGTCTCGTAGGCGCCAGGAACGAAGATCAGCACGTCTCCCCTCCTTGGTGGCTTGAAAGGGATCCCCCTTTGTTTCAAGCCCGGGAACCCTCAAAATCACCCTAAACCCTAAACCCGAAACCCTAAACCCGGGCTTCGGGTTTAGGGTTTAGGGTTATGAAGGTTAGGGTTTAGAGGGCTTGGGAGGGTGTGCGGGGTTTGAAATTTAGACGAGCGTCCTCCGGCAAAAGGCTTTTGGGCTTCAGGTTGAGCTCAGTTCCGGGTTCTCGAAAAGGGGCTTCGGCCGGGGCATTCGAAGTGTGGCGTCGGATGGCTTGGTGAGCAAGCTCTTTGGTTTCTTGGGCTAAACCTTAAATCCTAAACCCTTTTGCTGCTGGGCTAAAACCCTCAAACCCGAAGCCCTATATCCTAAACCCGAACTTTCCCCTCCAAAAGCAACCATAGGATGCCTGGGGCCCGCGCTCATCGTCTCTCAAGGAGCCCTCGATGCGTCGCAGCACCTTGTCTTGCGTAGGGTTTAGGGTTTAGGGTTTAGGGTTTAGGGTTTAGGGTTTAGGGTTTAGGGTTTAGGGTTTAGGGTTCAGGGTTTAGGGTTTAGGGTTTAGGGGATAGGGTTTAGGGTTTAGGGTTTAGGGTTTAGGGTTTAGGGTTTAGGGTTTAGGGTTGCAGAAGCCCTGGGCCTTTTTTTGGTTCGGCCTGAAATTTCCTTCTGCGCACGAAAGTGAGGACCAACCCGAGAAAGCACCCTGCGAAAGGGGGGGTTGTTTATGATAAGCGCTAGATCCCAAACCCTAAACCCTAAACCAACATTGTAGGTTTCTAAAGGGGGGGTTTGAGGGGTTCAGGGCTTAGTGATGTCTACCCAAACCCCTAAGCCCCGCAATTCAGCAGCAGTTCTGTGGGCCTGAATATGGTCCCTTACCTCCTTCAAATGGTTCTGAAGTATGGGCCCCTTGGGTTGTGTAGGGTATATGAGGGGTATTTCAGGGGTCCCCGTTTAGGGGCCCAAGCTAAGGGGCCATGTAACTACCTCAAGATAAAGCCCCCTCCCCAACAGCCAGTGCAGAAGCGTCACTTGGAGGAACGGCTCGCAGTCGAACTGAGTCTTTCCCTTCTTGCCTTGTGAAGTGGCTACGATTTAGGGTTTGGGTTATAAAGGCCGGTGGCCTCTTTATCTGTTGATACCTTGACTATGGTCCCTAGATACCCCAATACGAACCCCCTGCAAACCAGAAACCCTACCTAAAGAGACCACCAACCAATAACCCTAAACCCTAAACCCTAAACCCTCAGCTCTAGGGGTTTAAGGCTTCGGAGCTCGGCTTCATGGCCCCTCAAGGGTAGGGCCCTCAAGAACACCCTCTTCGAAGAGCCTCCCAGAGAAATTGCAAAAAAAATGTCCCCAACTAAGCCCCACCGAAAGACCGGAGACCCTGCATTTTTTGCAGGAAAGCCTGAGCTCTTTAGACAACCCCTTAAAAAAAGCCCAAAAACCCTTTTTGAACCCCAAAAGCCTGAAGCCGAAACCCGGTCATCGAGGCCTCTTTGCACCACGTCGGTGCGGATGGTGAGAGGCTCGTCCTGCGAGGATTTCGGGTCCGCGGATGAGCCGAAGATCCTAGGAGGGCCCTTATAAAACCTCTGAAACATATTCTTGACTGTGATTTTCTGAATGGAAAATATATGAAATGGCCCAAGGCCTGCCTAGTCCCCCAAGCTGAAGAAGGAGGGAGGCGAGGGGGGGGGGGGGGGGGAAATAACTCTTCCCTGTTTTTGAGGGGCGGCCGCGGGCGGTTGGACTAAGGCCTCACCGAGTCCTTCTGCGGCAGATGCTCCACTTCCACGCGGTACATCCGGCCTCGTGGCTCACTCGTGGATCAGCTTAGGGTCATTTCAGGGTATTTCAGGGTCCTTGCAGGGCCATTTTCGGGTACAACGACAAAAAGGATGGGGGTTCAGGCCTCGGGAAAAAGGCCCAAAACCCCAAAAACGGATCCCAGATCACCAAAACTGAATCCTTCGATCCCTCACACGTGGGCCTGGGATGTCAACCACCGCGGACTCTGGCAGGTCGAAGTACCGGATGAAGAGATCCTGAACCAACAAAAGTACTTGGAGGTTCAGGGTACCTATAAACCCAATTAATACTGTACTTATAGTCCCCTAAGTAGGTTATAAGTAGAACTATAATTCGGGGTTATAAGTAATGAACCTCCAAGTAGGAAAACCTGAACCCAAACCCCAACACCAGGTAGGTGTACCTTCGCTGTGTCTGTCTCGTCGGGTTCACTGCCACTCTCACCCGGGTGCCGTCCTTCTGCAGCGTCGCAGACCTTGCCAGGGATAGGAGACGTTTCGAGCCCCGAAACCACGAACGAAACCGCTTAAGCCCTGACGTTCTCGGGCCGATTTGCAGCATCTCCACACCTCCAAGCTCACCCAGCAATCCGCTTTTTTTTTTTGTCGCTCCCGCATCGCTGGCCGAACCGCAAGCAGGGTTGATGGTTGGTACGACTGGGAAAAAGGGCGGGGGGGGGCCCGTGCAGGTCCCTCTTTGAACCGGTTTGGGGTTAAGGGTTTAGAATCTACCGTCTAGCGCATGGCTCTGTGCAAAACCGGGTAGAAGAACTCACAACCCAAAGCCTTGCAAACACATAGGATAACAACTTCCCCACCAACACTCACCACCCCCCCCCCCCCCCCCCCCCCTTGTTGCTAGCCGAAAACGCTCAACCCCAAGAATGCCAACCCAATACCACAGCGTAAGCTCTCACGGGACTTGTTCACAATGTGGGTCCCCTGGCAGACGCCCTAAACCCTAAACCCTAAACCCTAAACCCTAAACGAGGTGCAAGGTTCCTTCTGAGCTTCCGACATCAGCACAAGCTTCAAGTCTGGCCGCCGATGTCGGGCCACCTCCACAAAGGTTGAGGGTGTTTAGGGTTCAGGGGTTGAATCTGAAGGTTTAGGGTTCACCCCGGAAAACCTTAAGAACGCCCTGCGGAGCATTCTCAGGCTGTCCCAATCAAGCTTGTCGTTTGTATCGCAAGGGGTTTCGGCAAAATAAAAGCATACCCATTTTTTCAACTTATATACATCTTTTATGTGTCTCTATCTATGCATATAGATATATCTCTATGTATATGTATGTGTATGTATATATATATATATATATATATATATATATTTATTTATTTATTAATTTATTTATTTATGTACTCATGATTATTAATTAACCAATTAACTCATATGATTCGCACCTCGGACCCAGCAGCCTAAGAAAAAACAAGAGGTGCCAACCACCCCCCCCCCCCCCCCCTGCCCACCCCCCCCCGTTGCTCAGAGTGGCTCGGCATCAGGAGACCCAAGTTCTCCTGAAGCCCCGCTATTGTCAGGGGCCTCACTACCACCTTTTTCGGGGGGCTTGGGTTAAGGTTTTAGGGTTTTAGGGTTTAGGGTTTAGGGGGGTTGCGGGTACGCCCAGGGCAGCCAAATTCCCCCCCACTTTCTTGGAACTGGGCCCCCTTGCTCCTAAGGCGCCTCATGGAGGATGCCCAGGACGAAGTCCACCACCAGGTGTCGCTCGTGAACCTCTCGGTCTAGCGTTTAGGGTTTAGGTTTCAGGGTGTCGCTCCCACACCTCTCACCCCTTGGGCCATTTTAAAGTCTCCTACCACAATTAATAGGAGAAGTTACCACATAGACTCCATAAGAATACGACCATCCATTTTGCAACCTCTTGCTAAACTTACTTCCCCAATAACCACGGAACGACGAAAGGTCAGTCTGCACGTGCGCTTTTTTGCAAAGGCAATCCAGTACTGCAAACGGAAAGAACACCACAGCAAACGCAAAAAAAACTCCCAGAGGCACCTAGACTCAGAAGGCTCTGGTGAGCTTGAACATCTGCAGCGCCCGACGCAGCCTGTAAACCCTACACGCTGGACTCCAATTAAATACTCTCACACCAGGGCGCTCAAGCCTGAAGCCTAGAAGCTCAACCAAAACCCCTCTGCATCTGGGGGCCCAAAACCCCAAACCCCAAACCCTAAACGCCCCACGCTTTAAACCCCTAAACCCTTGACCCTAAACCCTAAACCCTAAACCCAGTCTTTGCTAGACGTGCGTAGGGCTGGGCTCTACTCCCAGTGTCAGGTTGGGAGCGCGGCTTCAGTGACGGTTTAGGGCTTAGGATGGGGGGGTTTAGGGTTTAGGGTTTAGGGTTGAATAGGGAGTTGATAGGGTGTCGGGTGTCTATGGCGTGTCTATAGCGCGTTGAGAGCGATGCTTACTCCACCTGCCTAGCTGGATGGGTCGCTGTGGGGTTGAGTTTGTCTATGAGGCAGTTCTGTGCCACCAAGCTGTAAGCAAGAGGAGGGGATCTCCAGACGCTTTCCTTACATCATCCCCCCTATTGTAGGCATAATAGGGTTTAGGGTTTAGGGTACCCAAAACCCCCTCTAAGGGCCTCGTCGACGATGATGACATCGAAATCCTGGGGTGTGTGGTGCTGGACCCCTAGGTTGCCGTTCTAGGGGTTTGTTTTGAAAAAACCATGAAGAACCTGCAAAAGGTAGATTTTGGGGTTCTTAAGGTAAAACCTTCTTGCATTGGGCTTGCCGCTGAACCCGGGGCCCCACCCCTGGACCTGAAGGCTCCAAAAAACCCTAAACCCTAAACCCTCAACCCTAAACCCTCAACCCTCAACCCTAAACCCTATTATTGCCCTTTTCCCAGGGGCTCAGGGTCTAACCTAAGCTCTAATTCCCTCAGTTCTTGTTCACGGAGTAGATGGAAGTTTTTGGAATCCCCTTCGTCATACTCACTGTTGTAGGGAGGGGGGGCCCCGTATTTTTGGTTGTATATACCCACCCTAAACCCTCTTTACTAAACCCTAAACCCCAAACCCTTGTAGGCCCTGAGGTGACCCTAAACCCTAAACCCTAAACCCTAAACCCTAAACCCTAAACCCTAAACCCTGAACCCTAAACCCTAAACCCTAAACCCTGACCTATCCCAAGGGCTCGTTGGGTTTTCAGGGTCGGGGTTTTGGGTTTCGGGTAAAGGGCCCCAGGGGTTGAGCCAAAGCCATGGCAACGGGTTTGGGTTTAGGGCTTATAGGGCTTAGAGGGCTTATAGGGCTTATAGGGCATTGGGCTTATAGGGTTTCGGGTTTCGGGTTTAGGGGCTTGAGGTTTCGAGCTTCGAGTTTGGGAGAGAACAGGGCAGACTTCATCCCCGTCGGTTGCATCTACTGCGGCCGATCATCCGCTCTCAACTAGCACTGGAGCTGAGGCCTCCCAAACTACCGTTTGCTTAAGAACCCTCAAAAAATGGAAAAAACAACAATAATCCCTATATTACCCTTGTAATGAAGAGTGTTTTTTTGGGGGTTCTTAAGCAATTAGTAGCACAGGTCCCTGAACCCTCACCCCCCCCAGCCCTGCTCTCTCCTTCCTTCTCTCGTGCTCAGCCCTGAAACCCCCAAACTCTGAACTAAATGCAAGCAATCGCTGCAAGTAAAGAAAGCCCAAAGACCCAAACCCCGAGCCGGCGGATCAAAAACAAAAAAACAAACCCTTTGCATCCGGGTATGGCAAGTGCCGCCGGAGAAAAAGAAGTCTCAGGCATAAAGCTTGACCCCCCTCCCCACGCCAGTAAAGTGGTTGCGGCCCCAAACCCTAACGAGGACTCTTGACCAAAAACCTCGCAACCCTGAACTCCAAACCCAAAACATCTAAAATGCCATACCCTAAGCCCCAAACCCAAAAAAACCCTAAACCCTAAACCCCAAAAAATCCCAAAAAAACCCGCCAAACAAAACCGGAAAAATTGGCTGACTGCAGCCTGGATGCGGAGACCTCCGGATCGGATTCCAAGCGGCGCAGCAGGATCCCTTCAGTTACGAACCTTGCTTCGGCAGTCTGTACAGGGTGGGGTTTAGGGTTTAGGGTTTAGGGTTTAGGGTTTAGGGTTTAGGGTTTAGGGTTTAGGGTTTAGGGTTTACCCTAAATTGGGTTATAAGGACCCTAAGTTAGGTTATAAGTCCCTTAACTACAGTTAGCATAGTAAGGGGGCCCCACCCTGTAGGGTCCATAGGGTTTTGGGTCCAAAGGTTAGGGTTTGGGGTTTGGGGTTTGGGGTTTAGGGTTTAGGATTTAGGGTTTAAGGGCTTAAGGGCCACTTGGTGACTCCTTCGGGTACTCATAAGTTAGGGTGGTAAGTAGGGTAGCTCGAGATATATCCTACTTATAAGTACCCATGAACCTGCCCAAGGATGGCTAGAAGGGGAGATGTGAGGTCTAGGGCTCAGGGTTGATCTCAAGGATGGTTTGTTGGGTAGCCTCAGCTATATGGGGCAGAGTTGCGAAGCTCCCCAAAATGGGGAGGGTTGTGGGCTTGGGCTGTTTAGAGAACTTGAAAGAGTAAAACCTTCAGACCCCAAACCCCCCCGAAGCCCTACAACCCAAAAGCCTGTCCGTTTGGGCCCTAGGCTTGGGCTTCGCTTTTCCGTCTGGAAGTCTAGTAGGGGCGTGGGTTACAGGAGGCTACCGGGGTTGACCTAGAAGATGCGGCCCATGCTGGAAATATACGAGTAAAGAGCGTCCCGAAACATCAAACCCTACTTGACGGTTATGTGGTTGTATGTGCATAACGCTACAAGTACATAAAATCCGATGCTGCCCTACTTCTCGCCCTACTTATACCTATGAACGTCCTAGTCGTCCCGCCTGTGCTTCCTGATGCCCCCTAAACCCTAAACCCTACACCCTACACCCTAAACCCTAAACCCCACACCCTAAACCCTAAACCCTAAACCCTAAACCCCTAGCAGAGCCCAGGCGCAGGATGCGCGTCTTCTCCGAGAGGTTGGAGTCAAAGCGGATCTGATGGCCCACCGCTGCCGACGAGCTCCTCCATCTTTGGCGTTGTCGGTGAAGGGTTTCTAGGGTTTAGGCAGGATTTGGGGTTTAGGGTTTAGGGTTTCGGCTTTAGGGCCTAGAGGGTTCAGGGTTTAGAGCTTGGGAGCGATCTTTTGAGTGTTAAGGCCGGAAGAGTGGGCACGCAGGCCACGCTAGGAGTCAGCAGGACCCCGAGTCTGCTTATCTTGGTACCCCAGTACCCGTATTAGAATAAGGGTACCCTTTTTGACACCAAGGGAAGCTTGAACCAAAAGAAAACTGAAAAGGGTACCACTGGGCTACAAAGTGAGTCGCACCTCAGGCGCATTTCGGGCTTCTTCGGCGTTGCCTTCGCCACAGGTTCGGGAACGTGGGTGGCTGTAAAGGGGGTTCCCGTTTAGGTTTAGGGTTTAGGGTTTAGGGTTTAGGGTTTAGGGTTTAGGGTTTAGGGTTTAGGGTTTAGGGTTTAGGGTTTAGGGTTTAGGGTTTAGGGTTTAGGGTTGCCCAGGCATGGCACCTGGGCCCGAAAGGCTTCCGGCAAGGGCGCCGGCGTAGGCTTCAATCCGGGAATCCTGTCGGCTATATCGGTTTAAGGGTCGAGTCCCAGGTAGGTAAGCCCAACACCCCCAAAGCGCGCTGGCCCTAAACCCTAAACCCTAAACCCTAAACCCTAAACCCTGCAGTCCTCTCCATCCTCTCCTGCGCCACGCGCCGCGCCAGCGACACGGCTGCTAGGCGCCGCGGCTGCGTGACGAGGAGCCGCCGGAAGCCGGCCTCATGGGGGGGTGTCTTAGGGTTTAGGGTTTAGGGTTTAATTAGGGTTTACGGTGGCTTAGGGAGGCTTAGGGAGGCTTAGGGCAGCATGGCTTAGGGTGGCTGGGGAGGCTTAGGGAGCCTTAGGGTGGCTTGGGAGGCTTAGGGCGTCTTAGGGTGGCTTAGGGTGTCTTAGGGTTTAGGGTTTAGGGTTTAGGGTTTAGGGCTCGGGGTTGAGGCTTCGCAGGGCTACTTCATTGAAGTGGCAGGTGCTTGCTCAGTCATACGAGCTCACTAAAGATCTCAAGCAAAGCTGTACAGCAACCCCTTCAACCCTAAAGCCTAAGACAAGCCAAACAAACTGAACGCAACTAATTTCTGGTTGGCCCAGTTTTCCAGACCCAAAGCCTACTAGCCCTAAACCCTAAACCCTCTCTCTCTCTCTCTCTCTCTCTCTCTCTCTCAAACCCTAAACCCTAAAACCTAAAACCTTAAACCCTAAACCCTAAAACCCTAAAACCCTCAACCCTGCTTTTTGCACCTGGGCTCGCAGCGACAGCAACCAAGCAGCACTGCTGACTGCGGACGACCAGGTCCCGGTGAGAAAGCATCGGCCCCGAGGGCCCCTAAGGCTTAGGGTTTAGGGTTTAGGGTTTAGGGTTTAGGGTTTAGGGTTTAGGGTTTAGGGTTAGGGTTTAGGGTTTAGGGCTTTCTGTCACCCGCGACAAGCTACTGTGAAGGTTCTTAAGACACTGGGTCTAGAGTTTAGGGTTTAGGGCTAGGGTTTAGGGTTTCGGGTTTGCAGGGTTTCGGGTTTAGGGGCTTTAGGGTCGCCACCCTGCCTCTGGCTCGCGGGCAAGGCTTTGCATGCACAATTGTGAATGCCAGCGCGTTTTGCGCGCAGAGGGGTGAGAAGACAGTCTAAGGGTAGTTACGTGGTCCCTTAATCTGGGCCCTTAACAAGAGGACCCTTTATACACCCTCCTATATATACCCCCTACACAAAACCCAAGGGCCCGTACTTCAGAAGCCTTGAGGCAAGGGACCATATTGAGGGCCCATGAAACTACCCTGAGATTGTAGAAGCGTGCTATCACCCTATTCTTCCAGGTGCCACATCGTTGGAGGTGGCACGAGGGATGTACTTCTTCGGGTCGGGGCTCGCTGACGGATGTCGCCGGAACAGGGGACAGGAGCAGATATTCAAGACTGCTCCGTCCTTCTGAGGCTCACAAACACGACACACCTCAAAAGAGGTGCCGTCAACCCAAAAACCCGCTCTTTTAAAACCAGCTGAGATCTGAAACCCTGGCAGGGTAGAATGCCCTGCCAGGATGTGGCCATCTCCCAAACTAGGGGTACCCCGAATATACCCCCCAAATACTGTAATCCTTACTCTAGGAACCACCCTAAACCCTAAACCCTAAACCCTTTTTGCCACTGGACTGAAGGCAAGCCAGACTCCCTAAACCCTAAACCCTAAGCCCTAAACCCTGAACCCTAAACCCCTTTTTGCCGCTGGACTGAATGAAGGCAAGCCAAACTCCCTAAACCCTAAACCCTAAACCCTAAACCCTAAACCCTAAACCCTAAACCCTAAACCCTAAACCCTAAACCCTAAACCCTAAACCCTAAACCCTAAACCCTAAACCCAGAAAAGGGTACCCCCATTTTATGTCATGCGCGTGCGTTGGCGCGGCACTGCAGCTTGTTGACAGCCCACCAAAGGTCGCCGTGGAGAGCTGACACCTAAGGGGTGTGAGGAGTATATCCCTAAAAAACCCTAAACCCTAAACCCTATATTCTTCCTAAGTAGCCCCCAAATAACCCCCAAAGGTCCCTTCTAAAACTCCCTCCTTTAGCCTTTAGTCCCTTGAGACACCTCGTTCTCGAGCTTCACCACGCGCTCGGTGAGCCCAGGCCCTTGCCTTGGCTCTAGATAGAAGGGGCCCTGAATCTTTTTCCCTATTATAACCCCCTACATATACCTGATATATAGTCCCTATATACCTAAGTAGCCCCGAAATAAACAACCCCTAAGGTCCCAAACCCTAAACCCTAAACCCTAAACCCTACATATACCTGATATATAGTCCCTATATACCTAAGTAGCCCCGAAATAAACAACCCCTAAGGTCCCTTATAAGGGTCCCTCCTTTAGGCCCTTGCCTTGGGGACCGCAGGAACCCGAAAAGGGTCTATGGTTCACAGGCCTTAGTAGGAATTGTAGTAGTATAGGGTATATGAGCCCTAACCCCTATATAAACCTAAACCCCAAACCCAAACCCTAAACCCTAAACCCTAAACCCTAAACCCTAAACCCTAACCTGGGGGTTCATTTTTCGTCCCTCAAGTGCCTGTCGTCCAGCGTGAAGCGAGATCCGCGAGGTCCGCGACCCTTCGAACTTTCCTCTGGAACCTGAAGTGGATTTGGAGGGAGCCCTCTACATGGATGTTTTTGGGGTGTGTGGGTTATAGAGGGTTGGGTGGAGGGTTATATGGTTAGGGGATAGGGTTCTGGGTTTAGGGTTTAGGGTTTAGGGTTTAGGGTTTAGGGTTTAGGGTGAGATATCCCCAGGGGCACCTTGATCGATTCCATCAGGGAGTTGGTGTTGGACAGGATCTCATTGCACTGCTTCATCAGCCGACCCATCTCCACGCTGTTCCGTGAGTCACCGGCCACCTTCAGGATCCCGTCCTTGGTGGCCCAGGTTTAGGGTTTAGGGTTTAGGGTTCAGGGTTTAGGGGGTTGTGGGTTTCATGGGTACTTATAGCCCCATTTATAAGTCTACTTATGACCTGCTGAGAGGACTTCGGGGACTGAGGGGGCTGATAAGTCTAAGTGGGGTTATAAGTACCCTGAACCTCCAAGTCTGGGGGGTTTCCGAAATTAGGGGTACCTTTTTGGTGTCCCCATTAAAAGGGAATCCGACTGTGTGGGGGTCTATCTACGGGCTCCCCTTTCTTTCGTCCGCCCCCCATATCATAATAAGGGCACCCGTCTTTGGGTTGGTTACTTTATAAGGGAACCTTGGACCACAACATAAAAAAGAAAAGGGCTCCACTGGGCTACCAAGCTTCACAGAACCTCAGTCGCCCATACAAGAAAATAGGGTGCTCGCTTGTATTTCTTTGAAGCTCGGACTTGTGCAACCCTAAACCCTAAACCCTAAACCCTAAACCCTAAACCCTAAACCCTAAACCCTAAACCCCAAACCCTACACACTGCTACGATTCTTCTTTCTCCTACTACTACTGCTACTACTATTATTCTATTGCTGCCGTAACGCATCCTGGGCCGCCCCCCCCCCCCCCCCAAAAAAAAAAAAAAAAACAGCGGAATAAGGGCACTCTTTGGGATGTTCCCCCTTCTAATCTACTAACAGTCCTTAATGGGGATTCTAGCACCCCCTGCTATAATCCCTAAACACTAAACCCTAAACCCTAAACCCCAAACCCTAAACCCTAAACCCTAAACCCTGACTGTTAGTGTAAGGGGGAACATCCCAAGGCCCTATACAGTGGGCATCCACGGGACTCGTTGGTGTCAATGGCGCCACCGCCATCGTAGTCCAAGAGGTTGAAGAGCTCCTTGGTAGCCCAGTTTAGGGTTTAGGGTTTAGGGTTTAGGGTTTAGGGTTTAGGGTTTAGGGCTAGCCCGGTTGCTATATAGTAGTAAGGGCACCCTTCTGTTTTGGGTTTGGGCACTGCATCTAAGGGAACCTAGGACCAACAAAACAAGGGCGAATAACAAGGACACCCTTTTTGGGGTTGGTTGGTTACACTTTGTAAGGGAACGCAGAACCGAAGAAGCAAGAACAACATAATGTACAGGATACCCCAAACCCTAAACCCTAAACCCTGAACCCTAACCCTAAACCCTAACCCTAAACCCTAAACCCTAAACCCTAAACCCTAAACCCTAGGGCACCACTGGGCTACCGAGGCTCCTCCACATCGTCGATGCCGCTGATCTCCTTGAGGTCCCCAAGGAGCTCCTCGGGAGCCTCGGGCGGCCGTTTGGTAAAGGGTATAGGGTTTAGGGTTTAGGGTTTGGGGTTTGGGGTTTAGGGTTTGGGGCTTAGGGTTTAGGGTTTCGGGTTCAGATTCCTGGAATACTGAAACCCAAATAAGGGAAGAAGGCGCAATAAATCTCCCAAAACCCTAGGAACCCCCCCCAAAAAACTACTCTTTTTGCTAGGCTCTTGGGCCAAAACCCCTTTTACGGATGCTTAGGTAACCTACAGAACAAGTGGGTTTTGAGGTTCTTACGGTAGGAAACCTCCTACCCTAAGCCCCAAACCCTACCCCTCACCCTAAACCCTAAACCCTAAACCCTAAACCCTAAACCCTAAATACGGGCCGACCCAGGAGCAGACTCCAGCTCTTCGAGCGTGAGCTCTCCGGAGCCGTCCTCATCGAACTCCGCAAAGAGGCGCTTCAGTTGCTCCACCTCTTCTTGTAGCCCAGAAACGAATGTTGTAGCCCTAAACCCTAAACCCTAAACCCTAAACCCTAAACCCTAAACCCTAACTGCGGTTGGGGGGTAAAACGTTGCAAGTGAATCCTGGAACCCCAAAACACAGGAGGGCAAAAGGGTTACCAAGTCTGGGCTGACCAAGACCTCCTTCTTTCGCTTCGCCGCCTCCCAGGCTTTCTTTGCCTCCTTGTCCTGCGGATTTAGGGTTGAGGGTTGAGGGTATATGGGTTTAGGGTTTCCTTGCCTCCTTGTCCTGTTTTAGGGTTTGGGGCAGGAGGTTTATGGGTTTTGGGTTCAGGGATTTGTTTATGGGTTTAGGGTTTAGGGTTCAGGGTTTGCAGGTTATAGGGTTTTTGTGCCACCCGTCAAGCAGACCCGCCACACTGCAGGGTAAGAACTTCCGGGATGATAGGGCTTAGGGCTTAGGGCTTAGGGTTTTAGGGCTTAGGGCTTCGGGCTTAGGGCTTAGGGCTTAGGGCTTAGGGCTTAGGGCTTAGGGTTCAGGAACTTTGGGGGATTTCGGGTCCTGGGACGCTTGGTCCAAGGATGTGTTCACCATGACAGCGGTGACCAAGTTCAGCAGCGCGATGGCCAGCACCAGGATGGCGATGATGAAATAGAAGAACAAGAACCTGGGGGAGGTGGTGGGGGAGGGGGGGGGGGGGAGGCGCCAAATGAACCCTGCAAGGGTTTATGGTTCATATTGCCTTAGCAGGAATTATAGTACTTATGGGGTGGTATGACCCCTTCTTGCTAAACCCTAAACCCTAGACTCAGCCTTAAACCCTAAACTCTAACCCCCCCCCCCGGCCCAAATTAGGGTCCATACTTGATAATCGTCCAGGGAACATTCGGTGGTTGACCAAGGGCCGATAGATGGAACCGATGCTGTCCAGGCTAAAGATCTGGAGCAGCGTGAGGATGGCATCCTGCTAGGGTTTAGGGTTTAGGGTTTAGGGTTTAGGGTTTAGGGTTTAGGGTTTAGGGTTTAGGGTTTAGGGTTTAGGGTTTAGGGTTTAAGGTTTAGGGTTTACTGAACCCCTAACCCTAAACCCTAAACTTAGGGTTGTTGAGCATCCTGAAAGGAGCGGAAGTTGGCAGCAGCGACAGCGTTGTAGGCCTCTGCCCCTGGGCTTGTGTCAATGGTGATGACCTCCATACCGAGGATGGCGAACATGTACATCAGAATCATGATCAGCAGAAAAGTCCATAACCTTGGCGGGCCAAAAGAAAAAAAAGGACAAAAAAAAAGGGCTTGTGGGTTCAGATTATAGGGCTTATAGTAGCAGAGGTATATGACCCACAAAATTCATGTTGTCCCCAAGGAACAGGGTGGTTAGGCTGTGCATCAGGCCTTGCACCAACTGCCAAAGCGTCTGGAACTGCACCATCAGGCGTACGGCTCGGGCCAGCCGCGCGAGGCGCAGCATGCGCACCACCATCACCTGATCCAGCAGCTCGCTCTCAAGCTGCACGGGCCTCAAGATCAAGTCGAGCGTGGAGCTGGCGATGAGGAAGATGTCGAACTTGATCCAGTTACTCTTGATGACCGCCCGCCCATAGACGAAAAACCGCAGAGCAAACTCAACGACATACACGGCGAAGAAGACATTGTCCACAACCACCAGCCATGTGGGAATCGGCTGGCAAGATCCGGAGGTGCAGCCCAGTGAGGCATAATGCGTTTCCAGCCCGATGGTTGCGGCGTTGGCGATGATCACCACGCCCACGGCCGAGTCGAACCCTGACCATGATATCCAGCTGTGCATGACCTGGCGGCGCGCGTCCAAGCTCTGCATGTCCATCTTCATTGCCTTAATCACCTGGGTTGGCCTTTAAACCCTCTGAAGAATACATGTATATATATATATATATAGATAGATAGATAGATAAGGTCCCTTATAAACCCAAACAATAAAAACACAAAAATGTCCCAACAAAAACCAACCAAGTCACCTGCACTGCCTTGGCCCCAAGCTGCTCCTCTTCCGCGCGGAGGGCCTCCTCGTAGGCTTCGGCTTTCCGCGCCTCGTCTTCCAGCGCTGCCCTCCTTTCCTTAGTTGCTGAGTTCTCAAGCCCAGAAAAGTATGTACACTTTCAGTTCTATAGGGGCTTATAGCATCCCAAAAATTGTATAGTGTAGGCTCATTCAGTTATCAAGTTTCTTTGAACACGTCCGGAACCGTCTGCTCATCGGCGGAGCCATGTGAAGTTAGGTCGTCCTTCACCTCTACTGAACTCGGAACCCTAGCAAAATTATCTTTTCATGCTGCTTCTTCGGAATGACAGGAAAATTGCCCAAAAGTTTTAAAAATTCCCAAGGTATCCCTAAGTCACGACTGGGGACACGGGCTCTTTAGCCATCGTGGCCTCCGTGGTCTCAGTTTCCTCGGGCCGCCGGCCGCTCCGGTCGTCCTCTGCCCAGGCGCCCCGGCGCGGCGGCAGCTCCAGCGAAGGCCGCCTCTCCGAAGTCCGCGCCATGGCCCCCGGCTCTCTTGGTGTTCAAGGGTTTAGGGCGTTTAGGGTTTAGAGTTTCGGGTTTAGGGTTTAGGGTATACTTTCTCTGCTGTTACGCTTCGGGTTTAGGGCGTACCTGGGACTCAGTTTAGTCGCAACTACCCATTGCTTAGCAGCGTAACCGATTTGACTGTGGCTAAGGAGAGTCCCAGGTAGGGTTTAGGGTCCGTGCAACCCAAAACCCTAAACCCTAAACCGGCACACTTAGTGTGATGGGGGATGCGAGGCACAGAGGTGCAAGGGACAACTTCAGGGCGCAAGGCGGCAAGCTTCAACCTGTAGAGCCCGCAGCCCAGACACAGTTAGGGGGTTAAGGGTTTAGGGTTTAGGGTTTAGGGTTTAGGGCCGCAAGCCTGAAAAACCAAACCTCCGAATCTCCAACCCCCCTCCTCAGCCAACCTCGAAACCAAAAGCCCCCAGCGTTTAGGACCTATAGGGCTTAGGATTTATGGTTTAGGGTTCTCAGGATTGTGGTCCCTTTTTGGGTGCCCTACATATTAGTGGCCGCCTTATCAATCATAAGCCTCCTAAACCCCACACCCTAAACCCCAAGCCCTAACCCTCATCTCGTGCCTCTAAGCCCACGAGTCCCCTGCCTCCATGAGGAACTGCGGCACCTGCGTGGATTTTCCACAGCCGGTGTCGCCGGCCACGAGGACCACCTCGCAAGATTGTTGCTGGGACCTTTTCTCGTGCCCTTATACGTGTTCTAGCAACCCCAAAACACATAAATTGTACATTTATATTTATATATCTGTATATTTATATGTTTATGTATTTACATATTTACATATATATATATATATTTATATTTATATATGTATATGTTTATATATTTGTATATTTAGATATTTAGATATTTATGTATTTATATACTTATATATTTATATACTTATAAATTTTTATTTACATATTTATATTTATATATATTTCATGTATATATATATATAATTAGTTTATTACATATTTATATATTTATATATTTGCATATTTGTATATTATCATATTTATATATATATATATATATTTATGGATTTATATATTTATATATTTATTTGTTTATATATTTATATATATTATATATTTATATATTTATATATTTATATATTTATATATTTATATATTTTTATTTATGTGAGTATAGTACTTGATAAATTGGTTTCTTTATGTATTGATGTATTTGTATATTTATATTTTCCGGTCCCTTTATAGACAAGGCTCTGATGCTACAGGGTACCTACACCCCCCCCCCCCCCCCCAAGGACCCTCAATACAGGGCATCTTCGAGGCACCTTATTCAAGGGGCGGGGGCATATGAAAGTAGCATTTTGCGACCGCTTGTTTGGCCGAGGAGTTCTGAGGGGGCTGTGCTAAAGCCGAGGAGCCTGGAAGCTTCGACTCTTTCTTCTTAGCTTTAGGGCAATAGGGCTACAGTCGATGGGCAGAAAGGGTCTCTCTTTACCTTGATATCACAGGGCGCCTCAAACAAGGTTTAGGGTTTGAGGTTTTGACAAGGGTGCAGGGGGTTTATACCCTAAACCCTAAACCCTAACCCCTAAACCCTAAACCTTTAGGATTTCGGGTGCGCCTGGTGCCCACGTACCGCCTCCACAACGCGCTCGCGCATGGCGGCAGCGGGAAGTGATTCGACCTCAGGTTCGTTTGGGTCCTTCAAAGTAGAACCCCCCTAAGGCCCCTAAACCCTCCCCCATTTAGGGTTTAGGCCTTTAGGGTATAGGGCAAAGTAAAACCCCCCTAAAGTCCCTAAACCCTCCCCATTTAGGGTTTAGGGTTTTGGGGTATAGGGTTTACGGTCTAGGGCTACTTGGAGGTTCATGATTCATGGGTACTTACAAGCAGGGTCCTAAGTAGGGTAAGTATGCTTGTAACAGCGTGCCTCAAGCTTGCATAAAACCGCCTACCAAGCCCTCTGACCCCCAAACGCAACCTTCAGACCCTTTAGAGCGGGAAACTGTGCCTGAGGATTGGGGGGGTTTCAGGGCTTAGGGCTCCGAAAATTCGCGTTTTGGAGATGTTTAGGGCTCAGATGGGTCACATCGACCCTTTGAAACGTAGGGTGTTGGGGCCATAAGGGAATACTCCTTAGCAATTTCTTCCGACACCGGAATTAGTTCAAAACGGCCGCGCGGCGGTTCCGCGCAGCTTCCGAAGCCGTGACATTGCCAGCTTCTGACGGAAGTCCTCTTCGGTTGTGGGGGGGTTTAGGGTTTAGGGTTTAGGGTTTAGAGTTTAGGTTTAGGGTTTAGGGTTTAGGGTTTAGGGTTTAGAGTTTTTTTGAATCTGCCTTGAGCGTCCGAAGCCGACTTCTTTGAAGGTTACCTAAGACTCCTAGAAGGCTTGCACTAGACGAAGAACCTACAAAAAAGGAGGTTCTTTGCTTTTAGGGTTTAGGGTCTAGGGTTTAGGGCTTAAGGGTCTTCGGCTTCTGCTTGCTCCACACACTCTGTCTTCTGCACCGTGGCGGCACTGCTGGAAGGAAAGGTCGGGAAAGGGCGCTGGCATCCGGAGCATTCCAAAAACACCCCTCTTCCCTAAACCTAAACCCGAAACCCTAAACCCTTTTTTTAACCAGACCCCATAAATCCCACCGAACCATAAACCCTGAACACTAAACCCTAGACCATCCCAGAAAATAGGAAACGTACCGGTGTAGCGCGGGGTTCTAAGGGGACCCGATACCAGAAAAGAAGGGAGAACCTTCGCGACCAAATGAACCCTAACAGGGTTCATGGTTTATTATATTAGGGTTTAGGGAGTATCGCAGTCTAGGGTATATGACCCCAGTTTTGGAGTTCATTTGGTCGGCAGGGATGTAGGGTTTAGGCTACCACTGGGAAACCTGCACAAATCAAGGGACGAAGACTCGTACCCCTAAGGTTGTACCACGAAAGGTATGCTCCCAATATGGCCCTTACTACCTCAAGGATCCTGAAAAAGGCCCCCCCCCCGAAGCCACACAAGCTTCCACTAATTGTTGAAGAACCCCCCAATGGCTTAGGAACCACCAAAAACAACAAAAAACTCTTCCTCATAAGGGCAAAAAGGGGATTTGATCTTTCGATTTTTGGTTTCTTCTTAAGCAAATAGTAGCCTCACGGGTCCACACCGCTAGAACAAAGCTGAAGGAAGGTCCTCGTAGTGCTGCACGACGCCGGCAAACAGCACGGCGTCCAAGCCATCCCCAGGGCGCCTCGCTTGCGGTTAGGGCTTATGGGGTTGCTAGGGTTTATAGGGTTTATAGGGCTTATAGGGTTTATAGGGTTTATAGGGTTTATAGGGTTTATAGGGCTTATAGGCCTTATAGGGTTTATAGGGTATAGGGTTTATAGGGCTTATAGGGCTTATCGGGTTTATAGGGTTTATAGTGTTTATAGGGTTGATAGGGTTGACAGGGTTTATCGGGTTTAGGGTTTGTAGGGCTTATAGGGTTTATAGGGTTTAGGGTTGATAGGGTTTATAGGGTTTAGGGTTTATAGGGCTTATAGGGTTTATAGGGTTTAGGGTTGATAGGGTTTATAGGGTTTATAGGGCTTATAGGGTTTATAGGGTTTATAGGGTTTATAGGGTTTATAGGGTTTATAGGGTTTGTAGGGTTTAGGGTTGATAGGGCTTCTAGGGTTTATAGGGCTTATAGGGTCTATAGGGTTTATAGGGTTTATAGGGTTTATAGGGCTTATAGGGTTTACAGGGCTTATAGGTTTATAGGGTTTGTAGGGTTTATAGGGTTTACAGGGTTTAAAGGGTTTCGTCGCTCGTCGCTCAAGGGTTTCGGGTGTAGAATGAGCAGAAATGGTGGCGTTGGACTGCTGGACGTATGAAAGTCCCGTCAAGCCCAGAAAACTGGAGGTGTGGACACAGACTTGTTTCCGAGCTGAACACCATGACCAGCAGATTCACGACAATTTCACGACAATGAATGCCTTCATCATCACCTGATGGGAGGTGTAACCCTCCCCCCCCCCCCCCCCCGCCCAAAAAAAAAAAGTTAAAAGTGTCCCCCCCCCCCCCCCCCCCCCCTTGCTGTGCCGAAACCTTGTGCCACAACCTTTGAAATCAAAGGGCGCATGCTTTAGAACGCCTGGTGTGAAACTGAAGCTTCGAAACCCTAAACCCTAAACCATCCTAAACGATGGGTTTAGGGTTTAGGGTTTAGAGGAGCCCTAACCCCTAAACCCCCTTCCCCCCCATCCCCCACAAAGTGCCCGGCCTGGGGCTGGCGGCCTCCACGACGAAATTTTGACGGCCGCGCGGGTCGAAGGTCTATCGAGGCGTCCGTCAGTGCTGGGGGGGGGGGGGGGGGGGCAGCTGTGGATGAATCAGGGTTTATAACAGGTGTACAGGGGGGTCTCACAGACTCAAGATGTCCAAGGCCCCCTACTCATATACCTCAGTGGCAACTTTCGGGAGAGCAAGTTTAGGGTCTAGGGTCTAGGGTCTAGGGTCTAGGGTTTAGGGTTTAGGGTTTAGGGTTTAGGAGTAGAGTAACCTAAAACACACGCATCGACCTTGTCAGCGCCTTACATCCAAACCACAGACCCTGAACCCTTGTTGCCCCAAACCCTAAACCCCTAAACCCGATGAGTCCTGAACCCTCCACCCCCTAAACCCCTTAAACACCGAACCGAACGCCTAAACCCTGTAAACCCTAAACCGAACCCGAAACACTATAAGAAGAAAACCTTGAATTGAGCCCTAAACCTGCTAATTGCAGCCTTCCAGCCGGACCCTAAACTCCTTGTAAGTATAAACCCTCAAGATTAAGCCCTAAAAAACCCAAAACCCTAGAAATCGGCTTGCAGACCCTAGCACTAGTGGCTACGACTGAAAGCCTTTGCGAATCCATGAGTCAGGTACTTCTTCGTACAAAACGACAATAGAGCGTGACTGCATGCAAGAATTGTGAATATCAACCATATAAACCCAATAAGCCCCATAATCCCAAT